GATGATGACATAATTAATGTCGAAATATTGAATCCCAACACGATGGCGTGTATTTCAATACTTGGAGTATGTATTATACTTTCTTATCTGAGATTAATCAGTGGACCTTTCGGTATTACTCAAAGTGCACATTAACTACTGAGGTTAATAACACAATGTTCGTAAGATCATGAACAAATTAAAAACAAAAAACAAACAATTTACATGTCTGCCAAAAAAACATAAAGTGAAGAAGGAAAATTGACTAATTGATATGATTGCCTTTTATATCAAATTATATAATTATCTTCCTAAAGTAAAGTCTATAAAATAAAAAAAACTTAAGTCCTGTCCAGACTATCAAAATTTATTTGACAAAAACATGGGAAATGTCTAAATATGGTCACATCATGACCATATATAGGCATATCATGACTACATATGGGCATACAACAGTTTTTTTTTCAAAGAAAATTTGCTCCCTGGTATCATCCTAGATTTCCCTGTTTAACAACCTTATATTTTTACTGTCAACTCAATTTCAGATAAAGAAATTAATGAGAATTCATTATTGTCCATGTAATACCTCGTCATTTTATGTGAATATAATTTATTTAATGTCTGTTGTATCTTGTCCTAATACTTTGTGCTGTGTGGGATGAAGTGTGCTATCACTCTAATTATGTGAGCTAAACAGATCATGAAGTGTAGACTGTGTAACTAGGATACATTGTAAGGTAGATTTGTCTTGTTTGTGATCACGGTCTAGAATAGTCTGACTGGAGCCTGATATAATAATGATAGTTTATGCTTTATTATAACCATAAATTATGACAAATGACGGTGCTTTAGGCAAGATTTTTTTAATACCTTGTTTAGCGAAACCCGTCGGCCACTAATAATCATGATTTCGAATAAAAATAAAATTTTGATTTTGGCCAATTAGTGCACCTGCTGCCAAGAAAAAATGGAAATTTAAAAAAAAATAAAAACCTTTCTTTATTTTTATTACAGTACACCCGCCGCTGCCTTGAAATATCCAAAAATAAGATGTGTCTATTTCTTCCTAAGTAAATTTAAAGCTTTTAACCATCCCATTACTACACTGTATAAAGTCACCAATAAAATTATATTTTTATTTTCTGTTCATCTCAATATTTTTGGCAAAGCTATTTGCTAAATAAGAAAACAAAACTTAACTTTACTTTTTTTTTCACCCTTCTGACAATCTTAAAACAAGGTATAAAAAATGTCTCGTCTTACAGTGTAAAATAGGATATTCCAACAGTGTTTTTTCATCAGGAGAAATAATATTACAAACTCTGTTTGCCCTGCCTGTATTGTACTAAATGCTCAGTACGTTCGCTTGCAAAAAAAAAAAATCTTGCAAGTGATTAGGGTGGGAATCGAACTCATGACCCCCAGATAACTAGCCTGGCATCTTAACCACTAGACCACCAATCTTGCGCTTGGTGGCGAGTGCTGAATCAGATCCCAATTAGCTGCAGGTAAATAGAATATAATCATAATCAAGAAAACAAGAGATGAAATAATTTTTAATAATTTTTTTCTTCCCCTACAGGTGGTTTCGATTTCGTGGTCATGCAATACTCGTCAGAATGTAAAACAAGTAAGAATTTGTATATAATTAAATTTGTTATATATTTGAGCAAGTGGGAGATATGAAATTTTGCTAAAAAATGTTTGTATTTCTTACAAATACAGTTTGTCTCTCCAATTCGAGACCACCTTTGGGTCCTGAAAATTTAGGTGGTCTCGGGGTTCGGTTTCAACTTAGAGGGTTAGTTTAGTGGTAATAGACTGAAGATTGTTATTTGGTCCTTTGACAAAGTGGTCTCGAATTATAGGTTCTCGAATTGGAGGGTGCACTCTATCTGTTTATTGCAAAATAAATTTTGTATCTTGTATTCATTTCCTAATGTATAACTTTTAATATTATACCATTTTCTTGATATAAAATTATTTTTATAAGTGAATCTTATTTATTCAGTCATTCAATCATTTTGATTTTGTCCTGATTGTTGTTAATTTGTTTGTGAATTATTATTAATTTTAATTATTATATATATATATATATTTTTGTATTTCTATAACCATTCTTTGTAAGTGGTAGTATATCAATGTTGTCTGGAAACCAAACAACTATAATATCTAATAACTTATCTTACACCCTACATCAACTTTTTCGATGATACAATATTTGTTTTTTTATAGTAAGAAAGTAAAAGAAAATGTTTTTAATCCGAAATTTTTCAAAAAAGATGAAAAATGGTGGCCCTTATTTTCTCTGTTTTTAAAATTAATTCAGTAAGCTGGTTATTTACAACGAATAAGATTTTCACACATTAACTTATAGAAATATGAAAATTACCTACCACGGTAATGTGTTATTTCAGTAAATAATTTAATTCTGGAAAAATATAAATACAAAATAAAAATGTAATATTCTGAGGTAGCAGTAAAAGAAGAGATAGGAATGAGAAACTGATATATTTTTTTTAATTGTCCTAATTTTTCTGTTGCTAGGTGGTACTTGACAACCAGTTAGTCTTGGAGGTTATTGGCGGCTATGATTCTGGTGACCTGACCTACCAAGGTCAATATGATATTGAGTTCAACATAGAGGGAGAGTTTAAATTTTTCAGGTATACAAACCTATATTATAACCAAAACAAAATTCTGCCAACCAAAGTTCTACAGAAAGATCGATACATTCGCTATTCAGGTACTCCTTACCCCACATCCCTACTTCTAGAAATTTGCTAAGCAAAGAAATTACCTTCAAATAGATAAAAAGCACCACATATGACCTTATACCAGATAACACCCCCTCAATTAATTATCAACCTCCCCCACTTAACCTTCACGCCCCCACATCAGCTTCTCCATGTCAATACCAGTAGATATGCCACTGGTTAGAGCATAGATCTTTATACTGAACAACAGTTCATGTTTTAGTGTGTCTACAGGCAATACTACAGGCTGATTTCAGTGTCATCAATTCAAGCGCAAATATTGACATTACTGTTTATATTTACAAAGGAGTAACCCATTGAATAACACGTTATGTTAAGGACCTTGCCTTATGTAATTGAGAGCATGATGGAGAGGTTCATAAACATGCGTGATGATTTGCATACATAGGTTTAAGGACTTCTGACTTATTCAGTTGTTGATTGATAAGGTTGTTAAAAAAATTCATAAATTATGAAGCTATATAAACAGGGGCAGATCCAGAGATGTCCCAAAAGGGGAGGCTGAATGGGGGGGGCCAAAAGTCAGGCCGATTGAGACAACACTGTCCTAGGGGGTCCGGGGGCATGCCCCCGCGAACCTTTTGTGTTCTAGACACCCGAAAATAATATTTGATGTGTTCTGGGCTGTCATTTTTTTTTTTTTTCTTTCTTTTTTTTCCTTTTTTCTTTTGGAGGGGGGGGGGGTGCGGGGCTGGACTGCCTCCCCCCTCCACCCTAAACCTGCACCTGATAAATGCTGACGATACATTTATAAAGACGTAGTTAATTTTAACAGCTTTGTGCCCTTGTAAGGTATTTACATACATTAAACTACAATTTAGATTAAAAAATGCAAGTAAAACGATAAAAACAAGATAAAAAATTGTAAGGACAAATATTTTGGAAGACTTATATTGTAAGTTATCTTATGCAGATAACAAAAATCCAAAAGTTCACCCCCAAAATATAGGCCCTGTATATCTTTGTGTATAACACAGTCCACATCTATGATATATAGTCCTGTTATACATAAGGTATACAATTTATTGTTTTTATTCAGTTATTAATTGGTTTTTATCAATATTTTAGTGCTGGCTCTGGAACTGGCAAAATCTTGCAAGTCACTGTCTATTCACAATCAGTAATCCAAGCAGAGGTATGAGATTAGTCTTTCACACAAATGACTTGTAGCATTTTGATAATATCTGTTTTTCTGAAAAGCTGGGTTAGGCAGAGGAAGTAGGAAGGGAGTGAAATGTATAAGACATACTGTATTATTTATTTCATTAATTTTAACTATACTTTTATTTCTTTCCTCATCTACCAAATACAGCAGCAAAAATTGCCAATTATGCCTCTAAACTTATAACAACATTGAACAATAAAATGATCATAAATTATGATTTTTTATACAACAAAAATATAACCGTTTAAAATCTTAAATAAACAAGATAAAGATCCAACATATATATAGTAAAATGATATAATAATAAAGAACAGAAACAAAATAAAAGCTTATATTGAGCAGAAACTTTGGTTTTGAAAAAGGAAATACTGTTTTAAAAATATTAATGCTATTATTTTTTACCAGTGTATTATATTATGAAAAAAGTATGAATAGAACCACTTTTTAATAGCATTGCTTCAGCTATAATGTAGATGTGTATAGCACATAATATAATAAGGAATATTACACAGAGCTAAGCAATTTAAAGGTGACAAAAAGAGTATGTCTAATTCCAACAGTAATAATACACTAACCATAAAATTATCGCAAACATAGTTTGATGTTATTTGATCTGTTGCTAGGTAACAGATGAAGGGTTTACAGATAATGCTTGGCAGATATTCCAAGGCAACACGATCAAATGGTTGTGGTCTGGATGTGAGAGTCTTCGCAGTGTCAACGAGGTACAACTTTGCGCGAAGCATACAGGGGTCCTGAGAACAAAAGCAAGGTCAGTTAACTAGTGGCTATCCACTTTTCTAAACCAATTATAATGTACATAAGACTATTTGCCCTTTTTTGAAATGCAAAAGTGTTTTCTTATAGTACATCAATAAAAAATTCTCTGAGGAATATCTATTATTTTTTATTATTAATATTGCTGCTGTTGTTATTTTTATTTTATTATCATCATTTCTTTTGTTAATATTTTTATTAATACGTTCTTATTATTATTAGTTTTTATTATTATGTTTTTGTAAAGAAAATTAACAATCTGCTGTTCTTGTTTTCAGTGATGTGGAACCCTCAAGAACAGGAAACTATAAAAAGAAATTTGAGTAAGTATTCTGAAGACAAATGGCCTTTATACATGAAGCTACTAGGCTGCTTAGATGATCCAAGATCTTTCTATCTTCTCTCACTTATCACTTATCTTTTACTTTTTTATGTTTCTCTTTTGCCTTTACTGTATGTTTTGATGATGGAGCAAGGGCCGATTACTGTTTGGGCTCGTGCCTATTCCTTCCTCCTGGCAAGATTGTACGTTTACTTTGCCGAATAAATATTATTATTTATTATTATCAAATAATGCTATTTTGTAAATGAAAATGTGGCCAAATGCCAGTAATTTTTTATCACTATCTATTCCTGTATAATTTTTATGATTTAGTCAAATGGTTAACTTTATTTAACTACAGGCTATCCTTTCAGTCCTGCGATATAACCTGATATCTGCCAGAAGAAAGTAAAAGTATCTTTTAATTCATAAAAAAGTGATCTTCTTTATAATACTTTGATTCAGGTCTCCAGGAATGTTCTATTTTCAAACTGAGGGGAAATCTGGTGGCCAGCTACAATTATGCATCATTCAAGTAAAAGAAATACAAAGAGAACACAAGATTGATGTTACAGACACTCGCTACAATCCCAAGTTACTCACGATCCACGAAGGAGATAAAGTTTGGTGGGAGTGGAGTCGACTTAAGGTGACCTATTTACTAATAAATATTCTCAATTTGTATTATTATCTTTTACTTAATATAAAGTAGCCATTTTAAAAGTTGATTAACTAAGGAAATTTTATCCTAGTCTACCACTGTATCTAGCACTATCCAATCAGTGATTTATTAAGAAGAGTATAGTATTTTTATGAAAACTAAACATTAATTTTACAGTGCAAGAAGCAACATAAAATAGTGCAAATACAGTCACCCTCAGCAACTGGAAGTGAGAACCTGAGGCCTGTTAGAGGTGGATTCATGTCAGAAGGTCCCAGGTAAATTAATATTTGATAATGAATCAAAGGGGGAATCAGTGGCAGATTCAAAGGGGTGGGAGAACATGTACAACTAAATTGATGACATAAAATGTTACAACCAACCACATTACACAACCTGCCCATTACTCTAATCAAGCGTTAATAACAACTTGCGTCTTTTTTTTCTGTAATTTCCTTTTTTTATTTAATATCCTTTTCCTTTCTTCTTTAGTCGTTCTGGTATGCTGTGCCACATGTTTACCTCTGTAGGAGTGTACTACTATAGTGATGAAACAATTGATGGGTTGAAGTTAAACTTTGGCATTATCATTGTGAAACCGAAAGAGATAGTGCACCCAATTGAAGTGTCAGCAGATGGATTCTACCCAGGTCGGTATGAAGTATTATTACATCCATGAATGCTTACATACATGCCTACCTGTACATATGCATACTTGCATACTTTGACATACATACTTTTACATAATTTTCTATGGAAGTCTAACTACAGTAGCACAATATAAGTATTAATGAATTAAAGGAAAATACAAATATCCCTTTAAGTGGTGGATACTTCATATTATATTTTCTTCAATTCAAACATTTGTTAATTATGTTATTTTTATCTACTATTAGACTTGCAAACAATTTGCTCCGGGGACCGTATTCAATGGGAATGGAATGTACATGCAGTCATCAACACATTCTCAATAATGTTGGTAGGTTATTTCATGCTGTATGTAGTAGTTTTGTGAGGACATTTTGAGGGGACCTCTAACTAATAAGTTTAAATCAATCAAAAATTCTACGATATACATCACTTTGAGGTAGTTCCTTAAGATGTATATAATTATGTTAATTACATTTATTGTTTTATAATTGTTAAAACATTGATTGATTGATTGATTGATTGGTTTTTTTACAGATTGATAGTTGTGTGGCAGGAGCTGGGAATAGTGGTTCTGAAGTTGATTGCAACAGTAAGTATAGAGTACCACAGTCCTGTCGTCACGACGCCAAGTGGCGCTCCCTGTTGTCAACAGACGTTGGTTACCGTTCATTACGCCTGAATGACTTCATAGGCTTTCTGGAATAGGCATTTTAAAATCCAATATTTTACCATCAAAACGTACTAAAAACACAAAAGCTCGCATTATATTAGTTATCGAACACACATTTAATCATCATTTAAAATTTACAAAGAAGAAGTAAGATACAACATCTTAATAATTACGTCAGAAATTGGGATCATTGGTTTGTCAGTGCTGAAAATGGCGCCCGGTTAAACGCTTTTTGCAACGATAGCAACAGAGTAGTATCACATGGTATCGTGACGTAACACTGTAGTACTCTATTATCTTTCAATGTTTAAATCTATTTACATTCCACATTGCAGCAAAATGATCAGGATCAAAAGATCAGCAGAAAGTTATCAGCTTACTCCCCTTTTACATGTGTGACAGGTTCAGCACTACACCACTGTAATGTACTACCATTTGGGGACAGTGCCAATAATGAGCAATTTACGTATATTTTTCTCTTTGTAGACAAATGTCAATACTTAGATAATGATGGAGAAGCTCTCGTCACTTGCCTCGGTGTCACCAGTGTGCAATTGAACACTACAGGAGTCTTTCAGTATCGGATCTCGGACTCACTAATGAATGTAGGTGGCTGCTCCATCATAGTTCAACCAGGGTCAAAGGTAACAATTTATATGCATAATAATCATTTTAGCACTTAGCTATAGCTGCATATTTTAGACAATAATAATGGTGATAATACTATGATATGTTTCCATAAAATTGCTACAATGTTGCTACACTGTTCGATTACAAACCATAATGCTCTTGATTTACACCTAACAGATTGGGATAGTTGAACATATGTAGCTATTCATCATCTATTGTATAAAAATGAAAGATATATAAAAAGTATATAAATAAAAGATTAAATAAGATAGACAAGCAATGTAGAGAGTATAGGAGCTGGACCATTGTCACTAAAAATTATACAAAATCATTTTCTTTTCAGGATCACTTTATCAGAATTAGTGATAAAGGTTTTGAACCCAATTCACTAACTGCACATCCAGGGGACAGGATCTGGTGGACATGGGAGGGATCCAATCTACAGCACAATATTAGCCAGGTATGAAACAGATATACAGATTCCATCATTATCATGACCACTTTCATCATCTTTATCATCATTGCCACGATTCTTACCATCTTCTCATACAATCATCATCATCATCAAATCATACCATCATCAACGTCATCAACATCTCTCTAACATCATAGTTACCACCCTCATCATCTCTCAATTTTACTGTCTATCCTTTAACATTTTACAACATTATCATTCATGGCCATCATTCATTGATTACAAATGTAAATAATATGATATTCAAATTAGGTTTGTCACATAGCAATGTAGACACAATACTGTATAAACAAATATAAAAATAATAATAACAGTGCCCAAAAAACATTTTCTTTTAGTGTTGTATGAAAAAATTATGGCGGGACTCAAACTGCAACCACAAATTGTGACAGTTACTGAACAAAGCACATTACATTATTATTGAATAGACATCTGTGAATTATCAACTAACATTTCTGTTTTTGATGTTTACAGGTGACCAGTGGGGGACATCCTATCGAGGGTGGCTTTTGTAGTGGACATCCACATTCAGGGACAGGTGCTTTTTTACATGAGGTCATTGATACAGGTGTCTTCTACTACCACAGGTAATAAATCAGCTGACCATTCCTATAAAAGATTGCTCTCCTAATTTAATACTTTTGTGGCTTTTCATAAATTGGACATGACACCTACAGTAGCTTTATTATTTAGTGTATGAAAATGAGTAAATTGCCCTTTTGTCTGCTTTTATAATATATTTTTGTCTCTTTTCCATACAGCTCTGGTTTATCAAATATTTATGGGTCATTTGTTGTAAAAATACAAGCCAAGGTATGATACATTAATCACTTGATTTTCAGTAAAATATATACCCCTAGGGACAATTTTTTCAATAATTGAATTGCTTAATATGTATATTTAAGCATTAGATTTCAATTAAGGACTAGAACAAGAAAATATTTTCCTCATAAATATTACTGTTATTATAAGCTACTATATTCACATCCTGTTTGCTACTAAATGTGTACTGACCACACCAATGATTTTTTTTCATTTTCCAGGTTCATGAAGTGTCAGTAGCAAACAATGTCGTCCTACCAGATCCAACATTAGTACAGAGCAACGATTGTGTCGCTTGGCTGTGGCCACAGTTGAGCAAGCACGATGTAATACCAGTGAACCACACACGTGAAATACTGGATTTTAAGACGTACACGCAAGCCATTCTCTTGCCAAGGTATAACCAAAAACTATAGAACTACAAGAGGTCTACCTCTCAGGGTTTTGTTGGAATGCAAGTCTTATCTAAAAAAAAGTACTATCACACACTAGAGGGCGTCCTCCAAAAGAACATAAAATAGTCCGTAAATAAGACGCCCCTTTCTCGTGGTACTTTTTTTAACAATTAATTGCATGCATACAAAATCAGGGCAGTCGGACCTCTTGCTATTCTGTACTCTTTGGTATTACTAAGCATGAAAGTACAATAAAATAGGAATTTATTGTTGAAATATGCAAATGGGAGTACCTGTGGTTTGGTGGTTGAGGTGCCTGCCTCTAAATCCCAAATTCTTGGTTCAGTCCCGGCAAAAAAGTGTCAGGATTTTTTTTTCGCAAACAAAAACAACTCCACTTTACAAGTCTCAGAGAGAAACTAAGGATGGATTCAGACATAAACTCAAATACACATGTAATCTATTAATAGACTTGGGGCTAATTCCGACGGTCGTTCAGACAAGTAAAATAAGAACCAGTAAGTTGCGTAATGTTTTTCCTTTATCCAAGGTCAGACACAAGATTTTCAACAATATTTTTATTGTTACTGTATATAACTATCCATAATCTATACTCTGTAACTTGATTGGAACTTCATCAGTAATTTTTCACATTAAAAAACAAAATTTTATTTCACCATCGTTAGACAACGCCATGTTCTTGTTGACTGTACGACAACAAGTAAAGTTATTGTAACAAAACCAATTTAAAAGTAGGTATAAATTTATTATTCTGTTATCAAAATACAAATTATATCTAATTATAATTTTTAAGTTTGTTTTTAAGGCAGTAGTACTAATTTAACAAATAATAGACTATGAATTATAAATACAACATTCAAATGAATACAGTGACGTAGGTAAAAATGTTGTGCACCAACCTAGTGCAAAGAACTTCCAATTTCGTTGTAAGTATTAACCGCATTTTTTTCATATTTTGCTCATGATCTTACAGTCAAACTTTAGTATGATATACAAGAATAACCTCCATTTTCAATATAAGCAGATATAAAAATCAAGGACTTCTAAAAAATCCTTGAAAATACATCTTCATAATTAAACAGTAAACCAGCAGTCTAGACTAAAGGATCAAGGATAGGCCTGGTTCAAGTAGACAAATATATATTACTATTATTTTCAGACGATGCATTGCCAAGCGTTTTACCAATCCAGGAACCTACCATTATTACAGCAGGGAATTCTCTACTAAAGGAGACAAATTTATGGTGAGTAAATGACAACAGAAAATAGTTTCCTGGTATATTTATGGACAATCTTGTAATAACTGATGCATTTTCTAAATCCCTCAATGAATGCTAATAATTTTTGCTCCCATTCTCTTTTTAAGGATGAGGATGTGAGCTGTACTGTGTTAAGTTCAGTCGTTGTTAGCAACGACCCAGAACACACTTTAGTGAAAGTAACAAGAAAAGGTTTCAAGCCACCAATAGTGACAATTCAAAAGGTAAAGTGAATTACAGGGGAAGTACACGATCTAATGATATTATCTTATCTAATGTTGTTACATAATTATTTGATAACACCACCACTCTTAAGTATGTTCTCCAAACATAAAACAACAGGGCAACAATGAAAGTATGACTTATGTGCTATATATAATTCAGATGAAAAAAATAAAGTAACTGCTGAAAATTGATCAAATAACAACAAAACAAACAGAAAAACAAATTCCAAACATTTAGTGCCAGGTGAAATTAAACTAAAAAAATGATACAATTACCCCACTGCAAGTCCTACCATTCTAAAGCAGGGGCGGATCCAGAAATGTCCAAAAGGGCGGCCGAAACGGGGGTCGAAAGTGTGGCCGATCGAGACAATACCATTCTAGGGGGTCTGGGGGCATGCCCCCTGTGAAATTGTTGTGTTCTGGACACCCGAAAATAACCCCTGAGGCGTTTTGGACGATCAATTTCTTCTTTTACTCTCTTTTTAACCTTCCAAATGGGGGCCGGCCCACCCCCACCTAAATCCGGCCCATGTAAAGTATTTTTCCCTTCACCAGTACAAGTTCCCCCACACCAAAGTGATTTTTTTTCTCCAACCAAGTCCCCTTCCTCAACTTAGTGTTCCCACAAATATTCTGATTGTTTTGAGGTTGATTTTTTTTTTTCCTAGGGCCAGTCAGTCATGTGGTCTTGGAAAGACCATCCCAATGAACGTCACAACATTGTTCATGTGAATGCGACTGAACACCCCTACCCATATGGACCCATGACAGGAGTTGAAGCATTCGCAAGTAATGATGACAACAACAATGAGAAATGCTTCATGCATGCGTTCCAAAGCTACGGGAATTACTATGTAACATCCATGGGCACACCAGGCTGTGTTTTCATCGCTAATGTCATTGATGATGGTATATTTTATATTAATTTTTTCATTTTTCATGTGCTAATAATTATATTTATTTAGCAAAAAATGAATCCAACATAAATATCATAAAACTAATAAATGTTCACATCTATCATCGTAGAACCAGACAATCATGGCCAATCATTTGGAAACAGAAAAAAATTACAGAATTGACAAATCCATTTTGGTTAGAACCAGTGCATCCCAGGTAATCCATACATTAGTTTTAAAATATTTATAAAGACCAAAATAACATATCATACTTCTTGGTTTGTTTGTTGCAGATATTTACACAAGTACTCCAATGATATCATCCGAATGCAATGGGGGTGTTGTTAAACAGTGGCACAAAGTTCTCCTGAAGAACTCAACAGATGAAGAAACTATTCTCTATACATTAGATGGATCAATCCCAGAATTCCACAGTGCAAATACAAGGGTAAATAATATTAGAGCTACAATACATCATACAGGAATCTAAATATGATTTTTACCATGTGTTTAAGTCTACAAAGCTTGTAAGCTGTACATATATTGCGCATTTATATAGTGCCATTTTATAAAGATTTTATAACTTGATATTTCTATTTCAGGTGTACAAAGATGATCAGGGAATTTGTCTAAAGCGTCCTGGATTGGTGGTGATCAGGGCGGTAGCTATTTGTTCAAATTCTCTCAACAGTGACATATTTACATCTAAGTAAGTTCTTTAAAGATTAATTATGCAGTTGCTTTGCTTTGGATTTGGGGAATGAATAAATAAATAAAAATCGTAATTATAAATTTATAAACCATTCATTTTTTGTGAATTTTAATGTACTGTAATATACAGGTTTAAATTTTAATGTTGAATTTTAATGTACTGTAATATACAGGTATCTAACATTTACCTTATCATTTTAGCCGATTTTGGGTTCTTAAGGGAGAATTAGATGACAGTTGTGATGAAGATGATGCATTTTCCATAGCAACAGAGGACTTTGAAGAGGATGAAGTGGGACCAGTAAGTATACATTTTAAAAAAATATTTTGAAAGATATTGTGCTACCTATGTTAGTTTGGTGCTGCTGAAGTATTCAGGTTAGGGGTCCTCATTACCATGTTGCAGTTCAGATTTAGGGCTCACACATTTACTGTTATTTAATTTCAGACCAGCCGGTGGCAATGGTGGAATTGTGTGCCAGAGGTGAAAGGTTGGATCATAGAGCCAGGGGCTGTACAGGTAACCTGGGAAAGTCCTGCCAGTGAAGATGTCATTCAGTTGAAAGGTTATCAGGTGAGGCATACTCTGGCAGTGACATGTAATTGTATATTTAAGGTCAGGATGTTTACACTTTCAGGTGGATGAATGTTTTTTTGTTTCTCTATCCATACCTATCTAACTCCTTTTTACCAGTATTTTCTAGGCAAGATTTTTTATACCCTTAGCAAATGTGGCATTCATGTAACAAATTTGGTTTTGAAGTCAGGATGTTTAAATTTTCAGGTTGATGAATGTGGGCATTTTCTATTTCATCACGTTGTCCTTTGTCTCATTTTTTCATAGATATGTTTAAGAGGCTTAAACATTTACTTAGAATAAATTGATCAAATATTTATTATTTGTCATTTATCATAAGATTAATACATAATTCCATCTTAATCTAAACTATTATTAATAAATACTTGTTTTTTTTTTATATTATCACAGGTGTTTATTGATGGTGTGTGTTATAGGAATCTTATTCCTGTTACCTGCACCAGTGTGGTGGTAACAGGCCTGCCAGGGGGCGAGTCACATGCTGTGTCAGTGGTCGCTCTTCCATCAGAATGTAACTTCCTCCCTCTGGAGTCAAACAAACTGGTAAGTAATACACATTGATTCATGTTGTAGACAGATAAAATACACAGATGTATGACCAAGTGACTACAGTAGTGCTCCAGAAATTTGCCAACAGGGATCCATTCAAGGAGTCAGGAGCTGCCTTGACATCTGGTGAGGATCCCAGAATATAATTCCCGGTTGAGTCAAGAGGGAGGGATTTTGATATGGTTAGGAGGGTAAAAAATGTACAGTAGAATCTTGTTTTTACGTACCTCAGTTATACAAACCCTTAGTTTTATGTACGCCTCGTATGGACGATAATGTCATCATAAACAAATAGCCCTTTTCAGGACCACCATATTGTAAGAAGAGATTTGTTGTGTTTATTATTTCAATACTATAACAATAAACAAACTATATGCAAGGTAGTTACATTTAACAGCAACGTTGATTGTGTCTAAACGCGCTGTTACAATTTAAAACCATGTTGGCTGAGCGAGATGAACGACTACTGTCGGTGTTCAAAATAACTTTGAAAACTCGTCTGATCAAATTTTCTACACAAAGTTTACTATTAGTAAAAGCTGGGTAGGCAAAATTTTGCATACGAATGCTAATTGTCTGGCTTGCCTAGTAATTTGTCCAGGTTTGTCTCAACAAGCCCAGACAACACAGCAGCTCTGTTGTTTAGAATAGCCACGAAGGGGAATTCCCATGTTATACCTTTGTCGTATAAAGTAAATAAAATATAAATTATAAAGTGATTAATTAATACACAGACATGGTTTTATTTGAACACTTTATTATGACATAAAATGATGAATAAAAATACTAAACATATGGTTTTATTCGTAGGCCTGGCCTACACTTGTATGCTGTAGACCTTGAGAACATCGTTCGTTTATAACATATGTTTATTGTTACGTATGTATCAGGTCAAAGGTCACCACATATTTAACCCAACCTCGATTTTACGAATCCTACGATTTATGTACGTCGTCCGATCCTGTACCATACGTAAACTTGAGGTTATACTGTAATTTTTACAATATTTTGGAACTACAATCAAAACTGTGGATCAGCAAATAAATATTATTAGCCCTTACAACCCTAGAATGGCATCTGATGATGGGGGATGCTTATCCAGTAAGAACTTTCCCAACCCCCTGGTTTTTTTAGAAACAATTTCAACTGCATAGTTAATATAAATCTTATCTTAATATTGTCAGTTACTCCTTAATAATCATTAGATCTCTTTTTACAGCATGTCAAATATCAACTAAAGAGTGCTCTTGGTGGACCTTTGACCTCTTGTGCCATTGCTGAAAAGGATAACTCATTCTACCTCAGTTGGCCAACTCTGGACTTAAGAGGGCGTGGTGTTTCATACAGTATATATGCAAATGGAAATCAATGCGGACACAAGGTAAAACCTGCTACTATACCATTTGTTATGTTTTAGAGCGACTTAAGGAGTAATGTTTGTAGCTTAGCAACAATCAACATAATATTAGCAATTTTATTCATTTAATTGTTCTGTAATTTAATCATTTTTAAATTATTCCATATATTTATTTACTATTAGTTTTAATTTTAATCCTGGTACTGCAATGATTTTCATTCAATTATTTTGGAAATATGTTTGCAGTGCCAGGAATGGCTAAGAAAATTAAAATTAAAACTAATAATGTATCTAGAAAGGCACTATCTGAAATATGTACTCTTTGTGAAGAGATCCATAAAGAATAATTATGTATATTTATATATATTTATTTATCTCATTATTTATTCATTTTCAAAATCATTAGCATCCTTATAGGCAATATTTTGATAAATATAAAAATAGTTTTTACATTTAAAAGAAATATTAATAATAATAATAATAAAATAATTTTAAAAGGATCAGGAAATACACATTACTTAATTACTAGGTTTTTCAAGTCTTTTTGTTATGCTCATTGCTCTGAAATATCATTAAGGAACAATATCTTCTAAAATTGCATTGTAAATCTTACCAGTGTATCAGCAGAAAACACAATTAAAGTGATTAAATTGCATGTACACATGTTTTTTTTGCCTATGGCAATTGAAGTATATCTTAGCGTCTTACTTTAAAGGGCCATTCGTTTATAAAAATTATTTTCATGAGCGTACAAAACATAGATTATGGGAAGAGGTGAATGTTTTCTTTGTGGAAACAGCAAACTGATTTAAACAGTTGACAAAAACATGTGATATGCCAAAATATGGTCATGATGGCATCACATCATGACCATATTTAGGCACATCATGACTATATATGGTCATGATGACATCACAACATGACCATGTATAGGCATATCATGACTATATATGGGCATAAAACAGTTTTTTGTCTAAGAATATTTGATAGTCTGGACAGAGCTTTATAGGTGTCAAAAGAAAGAGTATCTTTGGTACTCTTATAAAAAATGATAAAGCAAATGGATGAATTCTGAAATGGATTATGGACCATATATGATGATTGGATAGCATTTCTTGCTTGAATAATAAGGTGTATTTATTATTTTTGTTGCATTGAATTTTTCAAACTGTATAATGGAGCCCCTTTAATACCGTTAATTTCATCACATATATCATATTTCATATAGTACATCAGCTATCAATAACAGATTCAGTAATCCATTTGCTGATCATTTTATCTGCCAGAATATCAAATATTGGAGACATGTTTTGTTTGTTTTGAATATTTGCCTAGCAACTCTTCATTGTGGTACTTTCATTGCCAATTATTAAGAATTGTGATGTCAGGCAATAAGTGAACTTGAGTATAAAATATGAATGTATTGTGTACTGTATCTCTTGATTTCAAAGCCTGTTTTCATATTCAGTGTGGTAGTGTTGCTTTTTATTAGTCACAAGCATGAGAAATACTTTTTATTTCTTTCTTACCAAAAAGTAACTCTATAATCTGTATTGTATCGTATCTTTTATTTGATGAGGTTTTATTATCAGAGTTTTGCCTCCAAGATCATCAATTTGCAGATATAGAAATCAAATAGTATCCATTTTTTTAACTCAGTGGAAATCAAGTAAGTTTTTAAACATTCTAAATTGCAATTTTTTAATTCCAAATTGGCTAAGATTGTTAATGTATTTTCTGTTTTGTTGTAGGTACAGCCGCAAAATGGGATCAAACGCTGTAAGGTGTTGATTGATGATTGTCAACTACATAATAAATATAACTTCCACATTCAGGCCAAGTTTGAAGGTAAGGTTTTTTGAAGAAGTTTTTAGCTTTAAATGAAACCAATATTTATCAAACAGAATATTTAGTATGTTTATTTGAATTTAGAGTAATGATAATAATAGTAACAAGAATAATAGTTTATTAAATATATAATATATGGAAGATCATGTATACACTTGATTATTATTTGTAAGTTATTAAAAAAAAACCAATCTGAAACTGTATCTATAAATAATAATAATTATACTATAATATAGTAATATAGATCAAAATAAGTACTAATGATATTGATGATAATACTAGTACTAAAATTGCAAGGAGCTAGTGTCCATAATACAAATTACAATACATATTTGTTGTTCATATTTGTCAATATCTGTCTCTTTCCAGGATCCACTGAAATTCTTAAGTCAAACAACCTACCAATTACATTACCCCTAAGCGTGAGTGAAATAATACCCCCAGCTGGTCAATCCTTGGTTGAGCTCCCTTTTATACAAGTCATCGAGTCAAAACAGAAAACACATTGTATGTACCATTTAAAGTAATATTTATATCTAACTAGAATATTTAATATTATGTAATAGATATTTTTTATTTAACATAAAAATACAAAAATAATATGTAATATAAATAATGATAATTAATCAATATGTATTAAAAATAATAATAAAATTATATAATAGAGAATATTAATAAGCAATATGAATTTATTAAAGATTAATCATATTTTTAAGAATAAACGGTATTAAACTAAGTTTTCTTAGTGGTCTTAGAAAATGAAGTTATTTTGAGAGGGTGACTTGAAGAGGCCTTGATTTTAAATCTAATTTTGTTTCTTGTCATCTATTAAACTACTTAAAATAAAATATTTATATATTTATGATATATTTTATGAGGTTTAAGTAAAGAGCTTCTTCCTACTGTTGACACATCGAGGAAACTTGAACAATCCGGAATCACAGATAATTTTGGAAAACCATTCCCAGAGGAAGCATTGTATGGAAGGTAAGTTCTAGCAGTCTTTATATTTTACACTTAAATAATACTCTATACAGTCAAAAAAATAGAACTTGAATAGTGATTTTATTGTTACACAATTTAATATGGATAAATATTGCAAAATCATACACAAGACAATATTTGCTTGATGATGATAATGATGATGATAAAGATTACAAGGGGACTTTATTCGTCTAACTAAAGGGAAATTTCATGGCTGCAGTATAACAAAATGCATAGACAATTAATTGATAGTGATAGTAAAAATAATGAAATATTTTTGCTTGTTCTCTGGGGTATGTGAGCTTGCCGTGTCTAGACATAGACATCACTTTATTAATCCAAATCCTTGGAAATTACATCGCTCTTTCAATAAATTAAGCAGGAAAAGTAATTCAATGCAATAAATAATAACTATCTTACATATCTACTATTAAACAGGTAAATGCCCCTCGCAATGAATGAGTTAGAATAACAGTTCGTGTTAGCAGCCGGTACCCTCAGTCTACCGCTGCGTTGTATAACGCAACTAGCAATAGTTGAATGTAACGGGTGACTTTTATAACTATAATAATGGTTGTATATTTCATAATAAATATATTACTGCAATTTTTATTATTAATTAAGTTTTATGTTTTCCTAAAGGTAATTTACCTACATTCTTTTTCTATATTAAATTCATGATTTGTTCCTTTTTTTTTAGAAATTCGTCATTTGATGTCGAGAGAGAAGAGGTAAAACACACTGGAAATGACCATCAAAATGAGTTTAGGAAAACTATTAGCTTGCTAGATGCTAGTAGTGTGAAAGATGAAGCAGAAGTTCCTAATGAAAAAGGCAGTTCTTCTATTGAAGTCGATAATCCTAAGTTATTGACAACAGATGTGAATGATTCTGATTTAAATGAAATTGTTGAATATTCGGGGGAAATAAATAAAATTGCAAAGAAAATCGTACAAAATATCATAAAGGATGTTGAAGAAGAGTATTTTAATAACATGAATGATGGAAATATGGATGAAAAAGAAATTAATGAAATAAAAAGGGATGAGATGCAGGATAATACCCCCTCTTCAATGCATGAACCCTCCCCTACCCTACTCCATAACCCTGCTGTGCATGTTGGAAATCCCAGTGACGTGTCCGATAATGACAGTCAATGTGTACAAACCACAGACTCTGATGTTGTTGAGAGTGACACAATAAATATAGAGAAAGATAACACAAAAGATGGAGAAGATACTGACTCTGATGATTCATCATCATCTGACTCATCGTCATCATCCTTAGAATCATCCTCCTCAGATGATGATACTGATGATGAAAGTGACTCAACAGATTCAAGCTCAGAAGATTCGTCTGCAGCTGGAAAAGAAAATTTTATTTCAAACCAGAGTGGTGGTGAGGCAGACAACAAGGTAGATGTTGGAAATTAATTGTGAAAACTTTAAAACAAAGCAAAAACAAAAACATTTCATAACAAGCTTTAAACACATTTAAATATGTTCCAGTTTAAAAATGCAGCATATATCTTCTTGCTGGTATCAAGGGTAACACCTAAACCCTCTAAAAAACAAATCTTGTTCAGATAACTTGCATGTTTCTACTTTTAATATGATATGCATGTATGTCTGTGTCTTCCACTTTGTTTCTTGCATGCTTCCCTTTAATACTATTAATACAATATCACAATGTTGCAACCTTCCCCTCTAAATTGTTGCTATCACCGCCTACTCCACAAATATTTGGGGCACGTCCCACCACCAAACAAAGAGGTTATCAGACGTGTGACAGAATTTCTGTTTGATAGGCATGATGGGTAGTTTGTTTATAGGGTATGACATGTAATTTTGTTGATATTTTGCGTAATTAAAGAGAATAGTTAAAGAGAATTGGCATTGGATGATTGAACTAAGAATTGTGGTATCTGAAGTTGAGTACGTCAAATCTTATTGAAACATGGTTTGTTTTTATTTTTAGGCCAATGTGGTACTTCCAACTCCTACAGTGGTTGTTCGAAGCCATGCTAAAGACAGCAATATTAGTGTGCAATGGCAGTGTGCGAGGGTGAACAGCACCAACTATGCATTCTCCCATTACATGGTTCACGTAGAAGGTGCATCTTTCTCAGAAGGCATGCACAGCCATGGAAGGTATGAAACTTTTACAAATTGTGTGTGTTAACTTAAAACTTAATAACAATTGTACAGTATTCTTTAACCAATGTTGCAACATCAATAATACTTGTATGTTAAAACTTTGTCATTTTTTTGACACAGATGTGAAGTTGTGGACGATGCCGGCAATGAGTACATCAGACACAGCTGGAATGCAGACTTGGCAAACTCCATCACTATCAAGCGTCTAGTGGAAAACTGTACATACAGGTAAAACAACATAAATCCATTAGCTGAAGTTCCATTTTAGGTTAGGTGTTGCTAAAATCAATCATTGCTGCTTTCAGTAGCAAAAATTAAAGTTATGTTTTTTTCATAAATAAGATAAAAAATATGAACACAATTTGAGTAGTTTATACGTAACCCTCATTTAATGATGTTTCAAATAAATGGAAAAAAAATGCTCATTATGAACAATTGTTTTTATTTTTGTGTGTTTTTCAGAGTTTTTGTTACCGCTAGCTTCTCTCACTCAGACCCTAAAAGAGGTACTCTCCAAACAGTTTCAGATTCCCACGAATGCATAACAGGAGGGCGTCCTCAACCACCCGTCCTTACAGTTAAAAGTCTTAGTGTACAGGAAGTTATGCTGTCTTGGAAGGCAGGAATTTGTCATCGATCCATCGGAGTAATAGGGTATCAGTTCTTTAAGAATGAGAAGAGGAAAGGATCGGTTACTGCTACAACTGCAACAGAGAAATGCATTTCAAAGATTAATCCTGGCAAGTACCAATACCAGTGTTCACACTTATATTTAAATACACAGAACACTAGGTTTTACTTCTGACTAAATACTATTTGCCATGCAAATGGCTGCTCAAGTAAATGATTAATTTGACTAATCAAAACAGGGCTTAAATGCTGGCCCACACTGCGTAGCACGACAGCCGTACGACCACGGGCCACCGAATCCGATCTCTTATCTCTGTGAGTTCTTGACGACATGTCACCGTCTGCTAATTGTCAATGGAAGACTGAGTGGATTGTCATTTGTTGTGCGCTTGACACTGCATTCTCCATAGATTCATCAATGATCAACGGCGCAATGTGGGCAGTCACATTAACCTAATAATTCTGGTGACTGCAGGACTTGAACCCAGGAATTTAGAATAGCAAGATTAGCTCCATAATCACTATACCATAGCTCTGCTCATATGCATTGATGTATTACATTAAAATATACTGAATGTTATCCAATATGAAATTAATCATTTATTTTTAATGTGAATAGGTACAACTAATAAATACCAAGTCCAGGCAATTACAGATGATGGAAGGAATAGTGATCCATCCAATACGATTACGATCACATGTCCAAATAAACCTGCTCCACCTAACCTGGTGGTGGAGCCCTCTACCGAAGCTTACACAGCTCAGATCAGCTGGTCCACGCCAAAAGGATCAAAAGGCAGAGTCATCTCATCATACTGGTTAGTAAAATTTAATTTGGGTCAAATTTTGAAAGTATTTGATTGGATAAAAGTAAATTTTATCCAAATAAATATCTTTTGGATATTATTCAATACAACAATAATATAATTTACAGTACTTTCTAGTTTTTAAGATAAAGTCTAGTTCACTGTTTTTGTTTTTAAACAAAATATTGGCAAAATATAAATAGTGAATGAATTAATGAATCAATCAATTGACTGGTTAATATGAATTTAAAATGTTTTTTTGAAATTAGTACTAAATAGACATGCTGGTGATTGTCTAATTGTTTCTTCTAATTTTACCTTAATTACAAAGTATAAATGAGATTTTAATTAGGATGAAACATAAAAATCAATAAAATAATAACATTGAAATTTATATTATTACTATTTATTTAAACATACTGAAAGCAATTATTATAATCATATCTAGTAAGCTAAATTTATGTTATTCAAATAAAAAATGTTTTATATAAAAATATGTAAATTTTCTAGTATCTATGTGAATGGCAAGCTTCATGGCAATGTAAGTGTTGATGAGGATCATCAGAAAAGTTCAAAGATTAAATACAAGCTACAAAATCTGAAACCAGGAAAAGATTACGAGGTAACAGCAAAGGTAGGCAATAATTAACATATCAACTCCTTCCTTTAAACCAAGTTACGAAGCATAATAGCTACTTCAATCCACCCACTTCACAGCATGTAAATGAGCAAATAACAATGCTTTCTACTTGCTTCTAGCACTTAATGTTCAGTGACCTTTATTTAGAAACATTAAAAATTGCAAAGTTGATGTCACAATCATTCTTTTGAGAATGGTCGCTGTATACAGTCTATGGTAGTGCAAGATATTTATAAATGTTGTGTCTGTGTTGACCCAATTGAACCAACCAGTACTTTTTTAAACAAAATCAGCTCAAATCTTATTTTGATGTAGACGTATGCTGGTTGGCGGACCGTGATGGACTCCCCTGATGTATTATGTGGCATTATGAGTGAAGAGTCATCACCTATCATCGTCTGTTGCCCAGCTGTGCCAGCTTCCCCTACGCCACGCCTAGCCGGCATGCACGACAGGGGAATTGACATCACTTGGGATGCAGTCCAGCCATTTGGTGATGCTGCAATCTCTGTAAGAACTGACATTTTAAACTTGAGTTTATTTATTTGTAATTGGTCATAGTTGTCAAAAGCTGTTGCCGGTCACTGTCGACCGGCGCTAAAGAGAGTTAAAAAAGGGACTTCTTTGTAAGACAACCCTTGTCACATTTGTTGTTATCAAATATAGAATAATATGAAAGTTAATTTCATAATTATTCATGTATAAATACTAAAATGCCTATTGAATTATGAAAATATTTTTTATCGTGTTTTTCGATGTGTAGGGATATTTGTTGCTAAAAGATGGTAAATCTGTGTTGCCCATAATGGATCCGCATACTCAGCACCATACAGTGTCAGACCTGGTGCTTGGCAGCACCGTCATCTTACAAATTGTGGCCCTCACTGACCATCCAGTAGGGAGGCTGAGGCAGAATGGCAGTGATGATGGCTCGATTCATAGCGAAGGTAAAGGCACTGTCCAGACTATCAAATTTTATTTGACAAAAACATGTGACATGCCTAAATATGGTCATGATGGCATCACATCATGACCATATAATTAGGCACATCATGACTATATATGGGCATACAACAGGAAGGATCAATAAATTTTAAAAAAATTTCTTCTCAGTGGCATATTTTAAGTAGCAAAACATAAGAATGCATCAAATTAACCTAATTTATCTAAAAATATAGAAAAATAAATAACCTCACAATCTAGGTAGATTTATTCCATCTACTAGCTTACTGTATTAACTGAAAATACTATGTGTGGGATTGTTATAATACAGTTCACTCTCCAATTTGAGATCTGAAAATTTTGGATCGTCTTGGGGTTGAATTAGAGGGTTAGCTTTGAGTTAAAAGATTGAAGATTTGTAGTTGGTACACAAAACAAGCCAGCAGATATTTAGGCAGTTAACAGTAAGTTCAACATCTTCAAAATATTTTTTATCTTGTCTAGACAATGACAATGAATATTTTGAAAGAGATATACAAGCAGAAAAGTACTCAGCATGTAGACCTGGGCTGAAACTGAAGGTGGAGTACACAGGTTTGGTGCAGCCTCCAACTAATGTACAGTGCCAGAATGTTACATCACAATCAGCATACATTACCTGGCAACAGAGTAAGTTCCTGTGGGTTTGTTTGTGTACTAATGGAGGTTGATCTTAGCATGGAAGGCTTATGCTGCAGAACAGAATGCATGTTTCCAGAGTGTCAATCAAACTTAACAACTGACCAATCAGAACAAGGCCAGGAATATGTGCATGTCTCACAAGCACCTTAGCAACAATATCCAAGGGGTGGGGCTTATTACTGTACCATGTTCATTACATCTCAAACAGCATAAGGCTACACAAGACAATGTAACATTATTTTCATCCTTGTTCAGTGAATCCACCCAACCACTCCAATATTTATGTTTTTTCAAGGTTATGATACTTCTGGTCATTATATATCGACGGAGCAATACCAGGTTACTTGGTGGGCCAGTGAGAGGAGGGACAGAAGTGTGCAGAGCCAAAGAACACAAGGTAGCAAAGCAAGCAGACATTATGACATTTGATCAATCAAAGTTTTAATTCGACTTTGATTTCAAGTTATTTTGAAACCTTGATTGAAAATTCCTAGTAGAAACGATAAAGTAATGTGGCTTGTTATTATCCTTTTTTGTTTTTTTAGATACTTGTTTTAAGTTGTATTCCCTGGATCCAGACACACGCTATACAATTGTTGTAGAAGCACGGAAGCAAGAAGTCTACAGTACAGGTAGCAGAGGTAAGATAAGAAAGAATTACTATTACAGTAATTTGATTTATTTTTGTTAATGAAATTGATAACATACTGTATACCCAAATAGTATGTGATTAATGAGAATTTCTTTTTCTTCTGTTTGATTTTAAATAAGATGATAGAAACAGCTATACTTTCATACTCACTGGTCAGTCTGATCAATTGCATATTCTCACAAGCAAGCCACCAGAAGCACCTCATCTTATTCGATTAGTATCTTCAACCTGCAGCTCAGTTGAGCTATCATGGAGGCTGCCAATGTGCAATGGATCACAAATCATAGGTTAGTGATGTTTTATAGGTTGTCAGTAACTCTTAACTTTAACTTGGTAAATTGATTGAATATTACATTGATTTTAAACACTATGTTCTTAATATTTTACTAATTTTCTTAATAGGTTTGAGGATGTATGTAGTTACAGGAGATGAAGACTATTGCATCACAGAGAGCCATTTGGATTTGTCTCCAGAAGCTGTTTCTGCTGTCATTCCAGGACTCATGGAAAATTCTCCCTACAAATTCATTCTAGTAGTTGTTACTAAAGAGTATTTTGACAGCCTACAAGAGAAAGTAAAGACAGATTCTGAAATGTCACTGCCAGAGGAATGGGTGGAAGTGCCAGAAGACTCCCCTTGGTTGCCATTTGTGTCAGTTGATGCTAAGACTGCAGGATCAGAGCCACCAAACAATCTCAGATGTGTTAAGTACTCGCAGAATTCTGTGACTCTTGTCTGGGATGCACCTCAATATGGCAGTGACCGACTCTTAAAGTATGTGGTGCGTTGGATGGCTGTCTGTTCTAAGAAAAAGCAATCTCAATCCAGTTTATCTGAAGGAACACTAGAAATTTTTACAGAAGAGACATCCGCTGAAGTGAAACTCTTTCCTGGAAAGATTTACAGTATCACAGTTGAAGCACATTTGTCAGACTTCTACCAGGCATCAAATGATGGTGGCTCAAATGATGGGTATATCACATGCCTTAGTTCAGATACATTCCAGGTCAGGATCCCAGCACCAGTTGAAGCACCAACACTTTTTATTAGAGAATTCACAACATCTTCCCTTGAGCTGCATTGGCAAAAACCAGTTTTATTTACTGCTTTGAAAGCATCAGGTATGTACAATTATGCATCTATAATCAGATCGGCAGACAATGATATATTTTATCTTTATTACTCACAATGCTGTGAAGTCACTGAAAATGAAAACAATTTTTTTTTAACTTGTAGAAAAATCAGGTTGTCATTTGTGCATACATCGTCATCTTCTGGAATATCGTGTGATAGTGAATGGAGAGACTTACTGCAAGGTTGATCCCAGTGCTCTGTATTGTTCTCTGAAAAATCTGTCTTCTGACAAGCTATACAGTATCCAGATTGCAGCAATTACTAATACCAGCGGAACCACTAAGGGCAGCAGGCAGTCTTTATTTGATATCGTTGACCAGGATGAATCATTGTCACAACCTCTTGAGCTTACTCTTCCAAAATATGAGTCTGGAAACCTGGTGATGGTGCAGGCCTCATTTTCTTCCGCTAGAGATCATGAGGGAAAAAAGTGAGTGTTGCCCTAACCATCAGCTGAATCTTCATCACTTTTTCACTTCCATCATCATTATGGTCATCCTTTCTTTATTTTTTAACACTCTCATAATATAATTATAATAACTACCTCTTCTTCATTATCATCCCATTTTTGTTTGTCTTGTCATTGATGTCAGTTCTAAAACAAATGCTAACATTTATTTTTCAGCAAAAGGCAAGAGTCTGGTGAACTATTGGTGAGCTGGTCTGTTGCAGATTGTGGCACAGCTGAAGAACAAGGCATTGTGGGATACAATCTAAATTGGATTAGCACAGCTGATGGAAAAGAACATGTGGCTTCTCTACCGCCTGATGTCATGTCTTATGAAATCCCTGTCCATTTTCAAAGGTAGTAATTGGTCATAACTAACTACTAAATCCGTTTTTCCGAGCCACTGGAGCTCATAGGGCTGGAGCTTATCCCCAGTTTCTGTAATGTGAAGCGGATGAGAGTTGTACTCTCCCTGGACGGGACACTAGTCCGCCGCAGGTTAGTCCCCAAGGACACAAGCGAAACTGCACAGCGGAGACTTGAAACTCCGACCTAACGATTAAAAGCCCAAACGTCAACTGCTGCGCCAAACTGCCGCTATAGTAATCGGTCATAGCTAGTGGTTTAATGGATGGTGTTGGGCTTCCAATCCTAGGTTCGTGGGTTCAAATTAATCATAGTGACATTGCTTTTATCCTTTGTAAAAGAACTTTTATTTTTCTCTAGCTCTCTGTCCACTGACAACCAAGAGATTATAAGTAGGTAGCACTGCATTTGTTTATGTCAAGCTCTTGCACATGGTATTAAATAATGGGTTTTTTTTCAGATCTGTGTATGATGTGAGAGTTAATATACTGAAAGAGGATGACATGTGGCAAGACCTAAATAACCTTAGCATTCAGTGGATCATTCCAGGATCTCCAGACCCACCAGTCATTGGCTGTTCTAGCATTACTCCAGATGAGTTCATTCTGGAATGGGGAGCTCCTAGGCTATTTGGAAGTGTTGGTATTCGTGGCTACAAAGTTTACATGAATGATAAACCTATTGGTAATGAATTGAGTGTTAACCATCACAGAGCAGTTATACCATGCAGACCAAACAGGTAAGTTCAAATGATATTAATAAAAAAATTAATTAATCAATCAAGCAATCAAAATTAACCAATAAATCAATCAATAATTGATTTCTGTAGGACATACCATGTGAGCCTTGTAGCCTTGTGTGCTGATACTATGTACCAAGACTCTCTCCTATCGGAAGAACTTCAGTTAAGATCTCCTGGAAATATCCATGAGTGCTCAATTACCGAAAGCAACAAACCATCAGCAAGAAACAGGCCTAGCCCCACCCATTCAAATTCTTCAACCCTTCCAGAGGATGTGTTCCTTAATGTTTCCAAAGTCACAGATACTACAATCTGTATACGATGGAGCAGACCATCATTTGAGGGTAAGCCAATGGTTAGTTTTTTGTGTAAACCTGGGCACACACTGTGCCGACTGTCATTGGCTGAAATGATTCCATAAAAAAAAATCAATGCAAAGATATGCTTGCAATGGATCATTTTTTAAATGACAATCCGCACATACAGTAGCACTGACATTCAGCATACAGCGTTGCATCGTCAAATATGGAGTTGTCGGCTGACGATTTTCGGCCATGAAGCAGTGCCTGCCAGGTTGTAGTTAAAGATTTGATCATATTTTAAGCAGGCTCAGACCTGCACTAGGTTACTATATGTACATGCGTATGTGCATTATAGCATTCCCATTCAATGATTTTTGCAAGTAAACAGGTTGTAAGAAGGTAAATATTTTACTTATAACAGAATTTGTAGGGTGAATATATTGATACTTTTCCAAAATTTCAGGAGATGAAAATGTTAAGCGAGTGAAAATACAATGGAGCAGTGTGATGAAACCTAAGGTAAGTCAGTAGGGAACAGCAAGGAATCGAACCCCAAACTCAGAACTAAGACACAGAATCACAACCCCTGTGCCAAATGCCACTATGCACTTTTACTACCAGTTTTTTGTATCTTTTTTTTTAACTTAGTTTTTTTTACTTAGTTTATTCACAATACATTACTTAATTTTTAACTTTTATCCATAATGTAATATACAGTAGTTAGATTTATATAGCATTTTATACCAAAGTCTTAAGTTGTGTAATTTGAGTACCTTTAATCCGTAATATCATAATTTATTTCTACTGTAGGAAATTGAAGCCTTGCTGAAACCAGTTGCAAGCCAGTACACCATCAGAAATTGCGCCGCCGGTGCAGCCCACTTTGTGACGGTCTTCTTGCTGGATGCTAATGATCAGGTCATCAACAGGTCAAAGCAAATTAGTATCGATACTGCAGCTCCTATACAGACACCAAAACTCAGTATTGAGTAAGTGACAAGTGACACAGGTGCCGGTTTTCATCGAATCTTGTACTATTTTATTTTTTTCCTAACTTACTACATTACTTAATACATTACTTATATGTATTAACTTTTTCTCATAATGTAATGTAGTTAGATTTTTTTATTTTGTGCTTTATACCAAAGTGTCAAGTTGTATAATTTGAGTACATTCAATTTTACAGAAGCTACGATTTTCATCAGTGTACATTAAAATGGAATAAACCTAGAGTTTTCGGCGACACACTACTCACAGGTTATAGGTTAAAGGTCAACGGGAAAGACTTAAAGACTCTTCTGCCACAAGAGACGTCATATGTGTTTACACAGGGAAAGATGTGCAGGGAATATGCATTCTCAATACAGGTATTAAACTTTTAATTCTACCGTAGTCATTGAAGCACAAGCCTATCCACAAGTACCAACCTTTGATTTCATGGTCTATCTTTTAAATAATTTCCATGCTACATACTCTTCTTGGGTATAAACCCAGAACCTAATGTCAGAGGTATTGGAATGAAAAATCTACACTATATGTAAATCACACAACAATACTCCAGGAAAAAATGTTTGATATGTTCTACAACTGATTTTTTTCTAAGACACTGAAGGGGGGATTTGACGAAAAACTTGGCAGTGGTTAATAACTTACATATTTTTAAATATTTAAAAACTGGGGGAAAAGGGTGATTTCCACAAATTATTATTTTATACACTTTATTTTATATATTTGTTATATTTCTAGGCCCTATGTAATGTGAGGTTCTTGAACAGTGATATCTCAGACCCAGTGGAAGTCGACTGGCCTGGTGTGATTCCACCAGCCATCAAACGGGTGCCAACTACTAAGGCAGCATCAATCAAGGTACAGTGGACAGAGCCGAAACTCACAGGAGGAGCAGAAGTTGAACATTATAGGGTGAGGAACCAAATAAAATAATAACATTAAATGTAATAGTAATGTAAAAACCCTGTGATTTATGTTATTTTTAATTCATTATTAAATAATTTTCTTAAATGTTTATATTTTTATAAAAAAAATATCATAATTATATATCATCATACTTTAATGAGTTTTCTTCTCAGTTAGAGCACAACCACTAATACCAGTAATTATAATGATGGTAAATGCAGATGATAAAGATGATGATAATTATGATGTGATGATAGCATTTGTAATGGTGATGATGGTGGTGATGATTGATTTGTTGATGGATTATTTATACAATTAATAAATAAATACTTATCACAGTTATATAAATATAAATATATATATATATATATATATAAATAAAATATTCATTATAAATTTTGCTGATTTTTTTAGGCTGTGTTATTGGATGAGTCAGCAGGGCAAAACAAAGCACAAAGACGAGCTGCCACCACCCTATCACCCATCATAGATCCGAAAACATTAACTGCTGAATTCTGTGATCTATTAATCAGTGCAACGTACAAAGTATTCCTTGAAGTCCATCTAGAAGGCCTTGAGAGGCCGGTACGCAGCAAAGCTATAGTTACTAAGGTAGCCAAGAAGCCCTCTAAACCTATAGTTCGCTACGTAGTTCGTGGAGTAGCAGAACGCCGGATGCTGGAAAGTGATGCTTGCAATTTTATTAATGAAAGAGACAAGTAAGTTTTATTTGGCTGTCAACATTATGTTACTCGAAGCAAGAATAAATGCAATGAAAATTCCAATAGCGTCTATTTTCAAGTTCGTACGATCACAATTATGACGACAATGATTTATAAAAATGCAGAGGATAGCGTAAGCCACATGAATTTTTGTTTATGTGACTTGGGCTTCAACACCATTGACTGAAAAGCCTTTTTTCCTAGTTTCATCTTATACGCCAAGGCATAAAGGGTGCCACCATAATGAAAATCACTCCCATCAACTGTAATGAAACATGAACAAACATACAATATTTTATTTTTCGATTGTTACTTCCGGGTTCTTCCCAGGGTGAGAGTTCACGTTTGAACTCGCATCCTGTCACCCCGATTAAACCCTGTCAGACGTGAATTCATATCCGTGGCAGTGGGCATGTTAAAGAGTATTTTCCACAATGTCCCAGAACACATATAAATGAACTGTGATATGCACCTATAAACTTTTGCACAATTTTGATTATGATATATAAGATTGATTGATTGAAAGATAAAGGCTGTAGCATTGTTATTAAATTCTTCTGGCTTTGAATATAGAGAGGGGGTGGTAGCTCACAAAATTATGTGATATGAAGTGGTTTTTATTTACTTGAGTCTAATTATTTTGCTTCCAACATTCCCAGTGAGTAGACTGGGGATGCAAGCCTTTTTTGGGAGGAATTGTGCACCCCACACATTAGAGATGTTCAGTGTTTGAGTGAATTATTGTAAGTTTAACTTTTGTCTATTTGAGCTATTTTTTTTCGCACCATAGTTGAGTGCTTATCACCCTACAAACAAGATAACAGTGATAGCGACAACAGATCATGCAGTTGGGGACAGCGAACCTTCTGATGTCATCATCGTTAATACAGCGCCATTCAAACCGTTTGCAAGTTACTGTTTTCACTCAACGCACACTAAAGAAACACGGTATTAATATAATTCCTTTAATTTCTTAAGATAAATTTTCCTTACAGAAACGTGACACTAGTCAGTTAATCCAGGTAAAGTACCTCACTTTATGTAGACTACCACCAACTGTACAATATAACAACAGCTTAAAAGTAGCTCAAATTTTGCCAATTTTCTCTTGACTTCACCGGGGGCGGCCTCTGCCACAACTTTTCAGACCCAACTATGGGACAGCTAGCTTTCTCCCCTAAATGTATATCCTACATCTACCAATGCTTACGGAATTTATTCTATGATTGATTGATTGATTGATTGATTGATTGATTGAGTTTATTTTTTTTTTATTACGTACAGGTTTCCGAGGGTTGGAAGTTGTGCATATGTTGATAGTCTCATGAGGGAGATTGGACCAAGTAATTTTAACAGGGTTGCTACGTTACATCACGGCTTTAACACACGCAAAATCCCACCTGCGTCTGTTAGTGTAATTGATGTGTACGATGGAGCGTGGCATTTATTAATCCCAAGTAAAATAACCAACAAGAACCCAACAATTATTCTCTTCTGGACAAAATGGTAACCACTGTTTCATTTTATTTTTTATATACTTTAAATAATTTGATTGGGGGAGAATTTGGTAAAAATATAATACATTCAGTTTTATGTAACCATAATCTTACAGAGCTATGAAAATTAAGTCACTACTTCTTATCTTTGAACAGGTGCCTGGCAGCTACAAAGATGTTAACCTTCTTTGTTGCTTATGCAAAAAAGAAAGCTTCAGTGGTATGTAACTCTATTTTAATGTTACCTTATCAATACTGTACATACATACATTGCATAATTTATATAGTGCTATTTCATGAAGATCAGAGTGCCTTTTTTGGGGGTATTTTTTACTAATATATTGTAACAGAAGAAATACCGGAAAGTGAGAAAATAGATGGATGGATATATTCGGTGTAGACACCAAGGATAACTCACAAAAGTCTGAAGATGACTTATTTCCAGTGAGTTCCTTCTGGTGGTGATTGGGCAGTACACCGGGAGACAATCCTCTACTCTTTTTCAAAGAGTGTACTGCGTTTTTTAACATGCACATTATGCACGCATGACCAATGTCTTCTGAAAGACGGTGCACTATCGTAAATTAAATTTCAGCCCTCCAGCTGAAATACAAGGAGAGCAGCAATTTGAATTGAACTGGGGTCCAAGAGATTTCGATGGTTCAATACACACAGAGTGGCTACCGCCAGTTTAGCTGAATGAGCTAAGCTGGTCTCATATCATCGTTATTATTAAAATTACCTTATAATTCTTGTAATTTGCCGTGGCTGTTTTTGTAGGTTTCCTGTATTGCATGCTGTTGCGCAAGCCAGGAGTCTACAGGAACCCACCGCCACTCCTTAGCACAAGTGATTGCAGGTAATGGTTGGCGGGACGATAAGGTCATACGCCATTGCTGCTGCTGTCATACAAGTCACGCTGGATTGAACCCCAGGAGACAAACTTCATCGATTTCAAGAACACTTTTAGGTGTGTAACATTTTACAGCAGGATTCAAATAGAGAGACAACATAAAGACTTAAGATTGGTGTTAAAAACCTGGGAATACCCAATAAAATTATATTATTAAAAAAAATATATATTGTTAAATTATTTATTATTTAAATGATCAAATATGTTAAATTTATTGAGACACAAATCAAACAAAATAGTTTTTGCTAATTTACAGACATTAGCTACAAAAATCTGATTACTAGGCAATTTAATGGTCTTATTCTAGGAATAATTAGAATGGTAAATTTGTATGTATATGTTAAGTTGTAACAAAACTCCTATTTACTTTCAGTTTCCATAGAAAGCTAACAGCTTATTGGGAAATATACAAAGTTAGCAATTAGCTTAACATAAACGAACAATGTAGCAAGATTTAGTTTTCCTCAAAAATGATTAAAATTAGATTACAAAGAAATAAAAAATGTTTAATTCAATAAGGTTGAATGTATATACTGTATAACTCTTTTTATTTAGCATCAAGTGGTCGAAGGCGCCGTCACAGTACCGTTAGTTTGGATATGACGCACAGTTCACAAAGTGCAAAGATCTCTGTACCTGAGCTCTTTGGAGTCATTGGAGTACCAACACTGGTTGTATTACACTCTGATGGTTAGATTCTACTTCTCAATCATTTATATTAATATTATAGTCCATCTACATAAGATTCATTATTCAAGATTCATTTATTATCATCATACATAATACATACAAAGTTTGTTTATTTGAGTTGATAGAAAAATAGCAAACCTGAAAATCAAAAGCAACACTATAAAAAGCAAGAAAATATTTTATTGATGTTGTGCTATCATTAAGTGCTGTGCTATTTCTAGACTGGATTAATAGTTCCATGTAAAGAGTAGAAAAAAAATGTAATGGTAGTTTTGTTTCAACATTGACAATAACGCAGGATGCTTCGCTATACCAGTAATTCCAGTACAGTTTAAAAAGTTAATGAGTTTAAAGTACCATTCTTATTGGTAGAATTAGGGGTAGATTTGGGAATTCAACAAATTGGTGAGGGGTGAGGGGTAAGGTCTAGTTGGAGTGGCTGCCATTTTAGAATCAATTTTAGTAGTCAAAATGGGGGGAAATAAGCCAACATGCCTCCCCGAGATACACTGCACATAATAATATATGTTCATTTCTATAAAATTTACTGCTGTTGTAGTGTCATTTTTTTTCGTCCTATATAGGTATGTATTTATAATGGGACTTTTTTTCCTACTTAGGGTACATTGCATGGCAAGGTCGTTTTGCAGCCCAAGATTTTAGCAGCTTTGAGATGTTTCTTGATAGAATATTAAAAAAAGTTGCTGGATCAAAGGTTCGTGAACCATCAAAGACTTCAGCCGAGCAACGTTTGGCCCTCTCATCACTCAGTAAGTTGAAAATATTCATAATTAATATGTAAAAGCTTAAGATTGGTGGCTTTTTGCCTTGCTATAATAGCAATAAGGAAATTATATGGCCTTGAAATTTTATTTCACAATAATATAGGGATGTGGTCTAAATTGACTGGGACAGCAGTTGCTTGCTACACCAATTTGTACTATACACTCCTCGTACACCTAACTAGATTGCCAACATATTTCATTAAAATACAAGACTAATTTTATTAATTAATTTATATATCCAGTTTAAAGACACCTACTGGTTAGATTTGGACTACTAGTAATTGATGACCATAGTTACAGCAATGTTATCAGCATTTGACAGTGGGCTGCCATTATCCGACAGATGGCCACTTCCACTTCAGCCCAACCATGGTTGGAGCTGAGGCTAAAACAGATGCCTGAAAATGGCACTCTCTAGCCAGCTATCTTTGGCTCACAAAATATTAATTTTTCCCAGACAGTTTATATTTAACCCCCGACAACTGGGTTTAGGCCCAGATGGCCCACCTGCTGGCAACACCCATGCATTGTTACCTGTCCAATTTTTCAAGGTCCTTCAATTCTCAGAGTGGCTTTAATCAATGCCAATTCAAGATATGTTCTCATAAACATAAATACACCTTCATTTTCACAGGTTCAAGTACCTTGCAAACGGTCTCTCCATCTGCGATACCATCCTCGCCTCCCTCTCCAAGACGAGCATCACCGACATTTATTCGGGAACGAAACCTACGATGGGTGGACAAGCCCCAACCAAGTAGTCAGTCAAAATCCAGCAATAGCCACGGAAAACCGATCAAAAAAATAAGCATAAACAGACGACCTTACTCTTCGGCATGTTTAAAGCCTAAAGCACCACCTAGGCCTAAGTCATCACTCACCATATAAACCAACTACTGTATTGGCCAAGAATCATTCACTTTCTGTCATCATCTGGTAATTTTGTTATACAGTACTCAATTTGTCAGACTTGCATGAAGTTTCAAAACTGCTAAAAAAATATTTTGCACATTTGAAACTGTGCAAGGTAATTTTTTGCACGCTAATTAAACTTCGGAAAAAGAGTCTAGCCTATTCTTTACCATTACAAATTTTAAAGTTACGGTACATATTATTTTTATATCCTTTATTTTCAACATAGATAATTAATGTCTGTAAATGACACATTTTATCACCATTGATAAAGAAAATACCTTGAAGAGTTTTAATATCATGTTTACATGAATTTCTGCAAATCTGACAAAGAGTTTCATACCATAAGTACGTACTGTAGCTTTTTAGTTTTAACATTAAATAGAATACCGTATGTCTCATGATAAATTCTATAAGGTGTAAGGATGAACTAGTACATTTGGAAGAAATATAAGAAAAATGAAAACAGGTATAATTTTTATTTTTTGAAGATAGAACAGATTTTGTATTATGTATACTTAATATTTTGAAAATGAATTTCTTGACTACGCACGTTATTGCCAAATATATTTTTGCACATACACTAATGCCACACAGGTATAGTAGCTAAAAAGTTCTAAAGATGGAGTGCAATACAGTTCGGTATGTTCCGTGATAATTTATTGTTAGTCTATATTGATCCTCCCAATCATGTAAAATATAAACATCCTAACATTTCTCTCATGTGACTACTCAAAACAGAGTCAGGACTGAAACATGTGACTATTTGGTATTGAATCATGTGACTACTTAAGATCATTGAATCATGTGACTATCCAGATTGAATCATGTGCCTACCCAATATTAAATCATGTGACTACTTAGAACTAAGCATATGACTATAAAGGACTGACGACGCAACTACTCAAGACTGAGTCATGTGATCAACCAGGAATAATTATTTGACTACTTTTGGGGATGTTATAAAATGTAAAAGTGTTGTGTATTTTGTGACAAAATAAATTTATCAAGTAGTCAGTCCTTTTGTTAAACAAAATTTCTTATTTTGTAATTTGTTCTATACTGCACCATCATTATGATCATGGTGTCTATCCAAAAAAACATAGTATAGGGGCTGGTAGGTTAGGGGGCATGCTAGCTGGGAAAAACAAAGGGATATGAGGCGATTTGTAACTACTGTACTGATTTCTAGTATAAATGTGCGCAAACTTTATCTTGTGCATGTGAACGCCATGCAAGCTTTTATACACCGCTGGCTACATCAAGTTGATAGAATCGTAACACAATATATCAGATCAGTTTTTATATTGAATTTACTACATTATCATGTGAATTGGTACTACATTTTAATGAGCCAAAAAAGGTGCTTGAAACAACTTGTCTTTAAGTACATGATTTCATTTAATGTCATAATTCTCTGACTCATGTCGCATATTGAAACCACTATCATAATTGCTATATAAACAGTTATTCATACTTTTACATATTTAACATATTTTATTTAATCCAATATCTTTTCAAATGTCAGGATTCCATAGCGCCTGAATCATTGTCATCATCTTATAAATATCTATCACATAAAAGCTGCTCACGCCACCATTTTACACCTACAGGAACAAATATAGTACTCTTTTTTTTTTTAAGTTTTACTTTATAAATTTTTTATTACTTTCATTGTTTTATAAAATAATATCAATAAAAACACCAAGCTAACAACCAAATTGCAGTGTTATGAAATATAATCTTGGTTAGATAGAGGGTGCTAGAGAAAGAGAGGGAACGAGATTGGAGGCTCATTTTACAAATTGTATTTTACACATTTGAATAACAATTTTTTATCCCATGGTCTTAGCGATACCTATATTATTCTGGTGCAATTGGATACAAGCAGTATAAAGTTATAATTTCACCATCAACCAGAGATCTATGGAAATCATATCCCAGTTGGCATTTAGTTTACAACTCAATCTTTCTCAGGATTTGAACTTAAGCCCTTCTATTCTACAGTAAGTAGGTAGCAATCTGCAAACATCAATTAAAAAAGTGTAAAAAAAAAACAACCCATAAATAATTTAATAAGTATACTGATTAACCAATGTTACAAATTTAATGTATCAGTTAATTAGGTCATTAGGTCAATAAACATTGTACAAGTAGTATTTTATAGATAGTTCTGGTTGCTAGGGAAACACGGTTAGACAACAAGACGTACAAAGTTATAAGTTTTCAGATTCCAGCCCCTTGCTGAAGTAAACAAACACAGAACATAATAAACAAACAACATTAAAAAGTTATAAATATAAATTGATTTTTCACTTTGTGAACAACATAATTTATATATATTTTTATGTTACAAATTATAAATCTGATTGCCTCAATTCATCAAAATAATTGACAAAGTGCTAACCTAATAGAAAATGGAACTCTGACCTGGATACAGTGGTCCGACCAATCAGATGATGTGTACCTGAATGGAATCAAGCCATAGCCCTGACTGGGATCCAGTGTTCTGACCAATCTGATGTTATAACCCTGACTGGGATCAAGTGCTCTGACCAATCAGAATTCATAGCCCTGACTGGAATCCAGTGCACCAATCAGATGATATAATCCTGATAAAAAATCAGTGCTTTGACCAATCAGATGCTATAACCTCGACTTTGACCAAATTCTGATAAAGGGTAGTTGATGTGTGATGGTTTAGGTCCTTGATGTTTATCTTCCCTTAACTGACTATAAAAACGTGATGGTTGGTGCATCATGCTACTCTGCCGACCATTACTACCACCCCCTCTTAAAGCAACATCTGTAGGCATACGATATCTTCTACCTGTGAAATGTGAATAGCTGCCATTGTTGTTACTGATATAATGGTTGCCATTGTATATACTGCCATGCCACCCCCTGCCCCTGTGCGTTCCTCGTCTGTGCTGAGTAAGTACTCTCCCTCTCCCCCGGGGCATCATTGGCTCTTGGCACTGCAACCATTGATTGTACCTATGAAAATCCATATCAGCAGGTGTTGGCCAAGTTCTGGGACTAATTTGTTCTTCTCTCTTCATTTGATAGAATCTTGCTTGATTTCTTTGATGTCTGTTTGCTTCTCTCGCTTCCTTTTTCTGGGTCACCTGTTTACCGGACACCTGTGTATCATTAATGTGTCTGCCATGTGCTTGCTCTCCGTTTTTTAGTTCCTTTTTTCGATGCTTGTCACTTTCTATATGCTATACAAAAAATATTAAATTTTTATTATGTAAAATAATTTTTTTATCAGAAAATCTAATTTATTATTTAATTACATACTAATTACTTCAAACAAAGCATGCAGGGATATTTTATTGCAAATATTAAGTCAGTTTGAATACTTAAGTACATATACTCATTATTTCAAGTGCATTTGTAAATACATTATATTTTTAATAGCAAATTGTTAAAATCAGGTAATTATTATTTACTATAATATCACTCAATAATGATCTTACCATTGTGTATTGATGAGCAGAATTCAAATACTTCCGGCAGACGCTACAATAAAATTTTCGATCGGCAGGCAGCAGCGTTTCTTTGGGTTGTTCTTCTGTTGCTGCTGGTTTTATTGCCTGGTCTGTCACTGCAAATTGGATTATTTAAATCAAACTGTTGAACAATATCTGCTGCTACAACATCCTTACTATTTTTTTGTAAAACTTTACTTCCCAGAGAGATTACATCATATTGGGAAAAAATATGTGGGAAACCCCCCATGAAATATGCTGTAATAAGGAGATCCCTATAAAAAATTTGTGTTGAGGATACCACCATTAGATTTTGTGATGACCTCCATGAAAAATTTGGGGGCAGAAAATTACCCAAGTGTATTCTGCTTTAAAAATTAATTAAAATATTTTAAACTTTACATTGGCCAGCATATAATACTAAAGTTTTGTCAACACTATTCAATTTCATGTATGTAGTTTTTGCTTGGAGTATAGTGTTAATGCTTTTGTTAAGCAAAAAATAAATAAAATGTGATACTGTACGCCCATATTTGGTGTAATATGACATCATCATGCCCATATATGGGCACATTACACACCTTTGTCCCAAAAAACTTAGCACGATAGGCTATCATCACCCCCTGTCCCGGTAAAAAACTCCAGAGTTGGGGAAAAAAGTACTCATATTGTTAAAAATCACCTCAACACCAGCTGGGATCACACTTACCCCCATCACTTACCCCCATCATTTCCCTAAACATTGTCAATAAAATCCTAGATACACCACTCGTCCCCATCCCTTTCCCAAGCCTTTACATACATAATTAAATTTTCACCTTTATATATTTGTGAGTCTATTGCACCCAGCCGCCTCTCCTGCATCCTTATATGCTTTCTTCCTTGAAAGTGACTGATAGCTTGGCTTGCAGAGTTTAATGATTGATTGCAGATGTAACAGTAAGCCATTTGTGATCCAGAAGCTGTATGCTTAGTTTGTGCTGTTTGCTTTGCGTTCATTTTTCCTTTCGCCTTTCGTCGCTTCGCAGATGAATTAGTAATAGTAGCCTGTGCGGCTGTAGGTTCCACATCAACTTTGTCTTTATCATTTTCAACCGGTTTAATATCATTTTCAATTGGTTTAACATCATTTTCTAATGGTTTAATGTAATTTTCAAGTGGTTTAGTATCATTTTCAAGTGGTTTAACATCATTTTCAAGTGGTGTAATATCATTTTCAAGTGGTTTAACATCATTTTCAAGTGGTGTAATATCATTTTCAAGTGGTTTAGCATCATGTTCAAGTGGTTTAACATCATTTTTAAGTGGTGTAATATCATTTTCAAGTGGTTTAGCATCATTTTCATTTTCAAGTGGTTTAATTCCATCTTCAAGCGGTTTAATTTCATTTTCAGCTGCATTACTTTCTTCAACTTTTTCTACCTCATCTTCACTACTTGGTAAAAATGTAGCCTCGTCTGTTTCTAAATCTGGTTGACTTTCTGAAAATAGAAAATTATTATAAATTATCAAGAAATCAGCTAACATTTACCGTTTTAATGTCAATGGTCACATACTTGTACAGTGCCTTCCACAGTAGAAACCATCTGAAGGTGCTTTTAGCCAAAAAGACACTAAAAAAATCAATTAATGAACAGACACAAACGTGATTGGGGAAGAGGAAGGTGTACACCTCGGATTTTTGTATTGAGCACCGCTCTTCAATAACCGCTCTCTTAAATGAACACCAAACTGGTGTTAGAAGTTACAGTATTTGGTCATATTCAGTAAATGGAAAATATAAATACTTCACTCTGAAAAGGACTTTTAAATATAAATGCCCTTTAACCACAAACTCTCTTAAGAAAATAACCGTAGAAGTACACGTTCCCACGGCTACGTTAATTGTTAATTAATTGCCTTGCACTGGATAGGGCCAAAACATGCCCATTAGTGCAGAACAAGTGTGAGAGTGATGACCAAACCAAATTCACCCGGATTCAAAGACTCGACCTGCTTCTCCTAAGAGGTTCATGGGAACCTACTTGTGTTAACATTTCTCATTTAATTTACTGTCACTAGGCAAATTATAAATTTCCAGGACTTTCCAGTACTGGAAATTGCTCATTTGTTTTTTCAGGACATTCAAGGAATTTAAGAACGCGTACAACCCTGTTTACCTTTTTGTTTTTCCTGTAATACCTCTGGCGTGCTTGGTCTAGAATTAGACGACATCTCTTTTTCACATATATCTTCTTCACAGCTTACTTCTTCACATATTTCCTGTTGTGGTGCATCAGCAATAGTCAACTTTTCAGTAAGGTCTTCAGACACTTCATCAGCAGAAGTCTGCAATTCTCCATCTTCTTCCAGGATTTTATTTTCTGACTCCATCTTTAAATATTCTGTCATTAAATTTTTTGAAGAAGTGTTTGTAAGTTTTCACACTATTAAACAGAAAATTATACAGAAAATTGATAGGAAAATAGGTGTGCAGAATTGTAATTATCTGATATTGTTACATTGTTATTTAATATTTACGAGCAGACCCTTGCATTTGTATTTAGTATGTTATGATGTAAAATAAATTAGGCCATACCTAAATATGACAATTAGATTATTTTATACTGAATACTGAATTGAATCATAACACACATTACAGCAGAAACAATCATATAATAATATTAATTTTTTTATGAGCCCTATCTCATTATGACTGCTCTCATCTGCTAAATCAAGGACCTTGACTCTCTATCTAGGTCTAGGCATAATTTAACCAATGATTGGCCATGATTGTCCTAACCTGGCTCTCTCTCTCTCTCACCACTAGTACTACTGAGTCAGTCAGTCTGTCTGGCTAGGCTGAGTTGGAGAAAAACTGCGATTGACACAGGCCTTGCCTAGGCCTACATTCAAATCTGATTTTAGGACATAGTAATGTCTTTTTTAAATATCCTTAGATGTCAGTTGATTAATAATTGTTTAGTATTATGATTTATTATTATTATTCATATTAATTGATAAGTACCTTGCTCAAAACATATGAAGAATTTAGGCTAGCTAGGCCTACCTTTTCGTCCTGCAAAATCCTACGGGACTCCACTGTTTAAAGTGCAGTACAGCCGTTAGCAAGTACATATTATTATTCAACTCAATGAGTATTAGTGAAAACAACTACATTATTAATGTTATGAGGTGTTAAATAAAATTCCGATCTATATTTTAATTCTTTTATAAATTTTCATAATGCTATCTTGTTTTTCAACCATAATAAAGTGCATTATGCTTGGAACAATCCAAGTACCTTTACTAATCTAATTCTGGCAAACATTAAAGCACAAGCATCCATCATGTGACAACTGTGGAAATCAGTAGAAATACACGGTAGTGTTTTGGTTTTGAACGAATAAGAAATACTTAATTTAACATGGAAGGCGAGTTGGATATACAGTTGGACAAAACGTAAGGCACGATGTTTATTAATGTAACGATTTTGATTGATTAAAAAATTAAAAATCTCATCAATTTGGCATAAAACTTCACTCGTATCGAGTGTAGTAGGGGCTAGGCCCAAGACCAAACTTCATACCGGCTGTAGGCCTACTTCCCCTTTTCCGACCAGTTGGTAGGCTTTGATCGACTGACAGTCGACTGGGAGAAGCAGGGGATATTATTGGCCTAGAAAACCTGTCGCTAAACTATCAGGTTCATTTTTGTTTGTTTGTAATTTCTTTTATTTTTCCCACTTTTTTTTAACAGAATGAATGCGCCGGGAGTAACGGGAGTTATTTGCACCGATCAACAAGGACTCTGTCTGGGAGGTAAGAAAAATCTGAGCACATTTTAAATTAAATTGGTAAAAAAACATTTGCGTTATTTTATTTTCATAATTTAATAGGCCTATTTGTTTATTATCTTTTCTGTACTCGTGTGTGTGGAAAGACTAATACAATAAAATCGTTTTGAAATGATAGCAACAAGAAAAACAAATTCTCAATTTCAAAACTTATATCAACTAAAAATAAATATATGCTACCAAAATGGCTTGATATGAAGTTTTGGGATCATTTTATTTTCATAATTTATTATACAGCACCTATTTGTGTATTAATCTTTTCTGTGCATTGTGAAACAAGATTATAAACATCATTTTGAAATGACACAAACAACAAGAAACAAAAAAAAAAACTTTCATAAAGTTATTCTCCCCCCCCCCCCCCACCAAACATTGTACCAAAATAATAAAATAACAAATTGAAATTAAGCTGATGAAACTTAGGGATTATTTTATTTTCATAATATATTATATAGGCCTATTTGTTTATTTATCTTTCCAGACACTTGTTGTGGGAAAAGATTATTTTAAAATGACACCTACAGAGATTTAAAAAAAAATTTCAATTTCAACATTTGATAAAAAGATACGATAATAATTTAGAGGTGATACCAACAAGTAGCAACAAGAAAACTTAATAATGCTAGTAACATTATAGTACATAATAATAAATTGAAATCAAAGTGATAAAAAAATTATTTTATTCCCATAATTTACTAGGCTTGCTTGTTATTTTATATGTGGACTAGGAACTCCATCAATGACTTTCTTCGTCCCTAAGGGTCCCTTCGTGTCTGTGCTACCCAGTAACACAGTACCAGCAACTCTCGTCGTCCATCACAGGGGCTGTCTGTTCCAGTACACCGGGGTATCCCCCTACTCGTCTTGAAGGATGTACTGGGTTCTTTATAGTGCACACGAGCCATTGTATACACTGGGCCTACGGTTTATAGTCCTTATCCGAGAAGACTTGTTCTACCACCAGAAACATAGGCGAGCGTGCCGTTCGAATCAGCGCCGATATTATGGCTATAGCTTGGGGCGCCCCCGCTAACTTTCTGTACTCTTTTGTGGACCAAAGACCAAAAAATAAAGACAAAAATAGATACTCAATTTCAAAACTTTAATAATATATGCCACCAAAATGGCATAAAATTAAATTTATAAAGTTTTGGGTTTATTTTATTTTCATAATTTATTACTGTATACAGGGCCTATTTGTGTGTTCATCTTTTTCATGCTTTGTCAAAAACAAAGATTGAAAACATTTTGAAATGACACAAAATTTCAAAAATTTGGTAAAGTTTTCCCCCAAAAATAGTAATAAATTGAATTTAAATTTATAGGAGTTATTATACACACCTATTTGTTTATTTATTTTTCCGCGTGTTTGTGGGGAAAGATTGAAAACAGTGTTAGTCATTTGAAATGACACCTACAAGAGACCAAAAAAACTTTCAATTTCAACATTTCAATAAAGTTTTGTTGAACTTTTCTGTCCACAACAGCACAGCCTTGAATTATTTACAAATCTTCTATCTCTTCCAAATGAGTCATAGTTTCAATCTACAGGATTTAAATATAAATAAATAAATAAATAATTAGATAAGTAAATAAATACAAATATTATTCATTGATTTTAGTTCCATTAATAGTAGAATAGTTCACATATTCATGTAAAAATAATATTATTTATTGTAGTGAAAGGCGAATCACTTAGTCAGTCAGCTGGTTTGGTGACTGGATTGGCCCAACAAGCAGCTCTTCTTTCATCAGATGGGAGCAAAGTCCCTGTGGTGTGTCTAGAGTATGAAAAGGGGTAAGTTATGTTATTACCTTCACCCCCCCCCCAACCCCAACCCTAATTCAAACCTGAAAAAAACATGTATTAATCATTCACTCTGTTTATTTTTTCATATTTCTAGGAATATTCTAATAAAATCCGAAAAAGGTGTTTCAATGGCTGTACGTAAAGTTAAATTATGAAAGGAATTATGGAGCAAGAACTGGGAAATCGAATATCCAGCGTCAGTGTGAGGAATGACCTCACTTGTAAACAACATTCCATGAAAGATTGCGCATGAGTGATCATAAAAACTGTTAGAATGTTTTTTCACCATTAGTGAGCTGTGAAGAGTTTTCAGGCGTGTTGCTCGCGTGTTGCTCTCCTCCTGGCTATAACAATGCATCTCCCTTTGAATGTGTAATGTAGATATATTAACTACCCCTTCATCATTTCATTTTGTTTAAAAGATAAATAATAGAATTCAGTGCTGAGAAACACAGAATGGGAATTGTCAAGTCAATTGGGGTATTTGTTATGGATGAGGTTATATTCATTGTACTACACTATACTATACAGTATCATGGCATAGAATGAATGAGTATATGGTCATGAGATTAAAATATAAAGTATTGTAGTCCGAGGCCAATGCTTCAAACAGGATGCCACTAAAGCAGTTTCCTTTCATGTATTCTAATTTTTATATTTTTTAAATTATTATGATTATTATTGTTATTATTATTATTATCTATTCAGGCAAAAGATATATTACAAAGCATTAATCTAAAAAATGAATGAATTTAGGGCATTCTTCTATGTAATATGAAGCTAAATAATAAAATTATTTATATAGCTTTAAAAAAAATGAGGAGCCCTTCATTTTTTACAAATATGGACATACCCACACATGCAAACATACCGTATTTATTTGAATAAAAGCCCTTGAATATTTATTGTTGAGAGGGGATTTGAGGAGGAGTTTATTTGAGGGCGGCGTTTGTTTTGATGGAGACATAATTTTTTATTTTTTATTTTTTTGTGTAAAACAGATAGGTATATACTCAAACACCCCTTAATCTCACTGTAAATGTGGAACTGCAACACATAATTATTGTCAAAATGTCTACTGGAGTAGAAGATTTATAAAATGTGTTGGTAAAAATGTTGCTTCCATTTAGCTTTGTTTACAGTCATTTAGGGGGGATTTATGCAAGGAAAAAATAAATGCATCAGGGCGTTTTTTTTCAAGGGAGGTGTTTATTCTAAATGAGACTATGGAGGGGGTGTTTATTTGAGGGGGCTTTATTCAAAGTTGGGCGTTTATTCACATAAATATGGTCGTTGTACAGCAGTACTATAGTAGTCGTAAATGGACATTTCTTTGCAAGGATGTTTAAATTCTTTTGAATTGAATTGACCCTCTACCTTTGTGAAAGTAAGAAAAAGCTCTGGAAAATATATAAAAGGAAGGATAAGGCACTAAGGAAGTAGGTATTGTATGCTTCATGAGTCAAGAAGGATACTGTATTACTGTGTGACTATCATATCCTGCAAAGTATAACAACGCTTTATTACCTGGTCAATGCTCTGTTGATAATGTAAATAAATTAAACTGAAAATCATATCCTGCAAAGTATAACAACGCTTTATTACCTGGTCAATGCTCTGTTGATAATAAATTAAACTGAAAATCAACCTTTGGAATCTATTTTTTTTTCTTGCCAAACCTAGCACAGAGTGGAACTGTCAAACATTGAGTTGCTGTGGATTGTTTATATAATATATTGATTTTCATCTGTCAGTGAAAATATGCTGCGCTATAATTGAAATGCATATTTATACAACAAATACAACCTATTACATATTACTGTATACTTTAATAGAGACGATATTGTAATATGCACTTTATAAGTACCTGTATATAACCATAATTACTAAGCCATGAAGTTGTTAAACTAGTGGTACTAGACTATACTGTATTATACATGTTTCAAAGTCCAAAAGTTGTAGGCATGGGAAAATAACAAATATGTGCACAAAATTATTTTAAAATTCAGCAACAAAATAAAAAACAAAAACTTAATTTTATTTTTAAATTAACCTTATCATACATGACACATTTGTTTCCCTATCGTTAAAACTGAGGGACATATCGGTGTAATGTACCAGTACCAGTTGTTTAGTTCACTTTCTATAATATGCGTAAGTACACATCCATTGGCCATTAATTCCAGAAATTGCGTCTATATATATATAGCAAACACCAAGTTCTGTCTTTTAAAGATGAAATATACGAAATATTTATTGACAATAAAAAAAGAACTTAAACTTAGAGCTGGGGGAGGGGCCACTGTCCCTGATTGTTAGGGGATGGGGTTCGATGCTTTCAACGGTGAGCGAAAGTGGACAGGGCTTCCGAATATGTAGGGATATCAAAGTATTATTTATTCAAATTTCATAGAATTTTTCCTAAACAATTTGTGTTGAGCTCCCAGACCGGGGGGGGGGGGGCTTTCCTTGAGCGCCCCATCGATGCCACTGTGTAATAAACGTGAATAAATAAAATTAAATATGAAATTAAATTAAAGAACAAGTAAGTATTTATGATGTTTAATTGTGGGATTGATGAGTTGAGCACTTGTTTTATTATTTTACATTGTTCTTAAGTTGTGGATAAAAAAAAAACAAAAAAAAAAAACTATGGGAACTCGGGGAGTCCGGACGTCGCCAACGCTAATAAATCCTCACTTTACAATCTACCGGAAATGGACGCACGCGATTGACAGCCTTAAAGAAGTGACTCTCACGAGCTAAAATACACACAGGGTAGGCCTACATCCCCATCCGCCAACTTGCCAAGCATGGTTTCCATAAAATCGTTACGCGGTCGCTATCGCTGACAACTTACAGCGACGCTGATTGGTCGACCGGATCGTGAGTTCTCTCCGATTGCGTCTGCGACAGGCACGCATCGTAACAATTACAGTGATAACCCTGTAGCGACATTGAGGTGATTTTATGGAGACAATGCTTATCAAATGGATACGCATGTGTCACAGCCAATTAAATTATGAGGGGCTAAATTTAGACTAAAAATTTAAAACGTCAAAATTATCTTACAAATACAAATATAAATGTTGTTTAAAAAGGGAATCGCCCTATTTAGACCTGTAAAATTACTTTTCTGGTTACCCTATGAAAAATTTCCAACCCATTAATGGACGTGTCTAAAACCAATTACAGGTACGATTATTGTTATTGATAAAGAGCGCTATCGATGTGCATCGTTGACTGATGCGTCAAAGCTTCAAAATAGGCTATTTGGGCTAGGAAAGGGGACTTTCAACAATGGTTGTAAGTGTTCATTCATCAGTAATAACGACAGAATTAATTATAACATGAATTACACGATTTATGTATACAATGGGCCATAAGATTAAGCGTGGTTTACGACTCGAAAGTCCCGATCCCAGTGCCTAAACATGAAAGCCGCCCCGATATTAACGGAGATAGCGAACAAAACCCCAATGTGACGTCAGCCAGAAAGCCTGTACGTACGTAGGCCATGTCTAAAACAGCCAGAAGACGTGAACATTATTAGTAGTGGTATCAACTTAACATTTATAGATTTATGCCGTCACCATCAAGCATCATGGCCTTTGTCAAACAGAAATACTGTCACGAATAGAAGAATGCGTCGGAATGGAATGACTCGTAAGTCACGTCATATCTTTAATAGTGCAGTACTGTGTGACAAACTTGAATAATAAAGCAAGCATAACATAAGGCAATCTTGAATCCTACTGGGTTTTAAACATAGAGTTATAATACGGTTTTACTGCATAATATATTCTACCAGCAGCGTGTCTACAGGGGACACCACATCCCAGGCGCCCCACTAAACATGCTCAACAAAGATTTATTTACACGTATTTTATCTGTTTATATATTTTTATTTATTTATTATTTACTTATTTATATTCAAGTATATTTTCCTATATATTACATATTCGCTAAATGTTTATGTGTGTTTGTATGTTTTTGTGCGTATATGTCTCTGCTTGTTCAGTTTTTTACATGTTTGTTTTTGTCATTCTGTACCTATTGTATTTATCTAATTAATAAAACAATTTTTTCTGATGAGAAAATAAGATTGATGAGGTCATACCAGCTACTCGAAGCTTCTATACAAGGAATGATATACAATAACAAAGAGAATATTCTAAAGCCCTTTATTTTCGCGGCCTTATATTTTCTCGATTACACAATTTCCAGTCACTTTTTAATATGATTCAGAAAACCACAAGTAGTTTTTTTAGCCTATATTATAGCTAGAGCTCCCGATATTGGTGGGTTTTTCTCGATTTTTTTTTATAGCAATTTCTACCCTCTAAATTTTTAGAATAGTTTAGGCAGGCCCACTTCAGCTACTCCAAAGAGTACAAAAAGAATACAGTATTTAATTGTTCGAATAACTTCCAACTGAAAGCTAAAAAAACAAACAAACAAACAAACAAAAACAAAACAAACCACAGCACTTCTATGTACAAAAGAGAGCTATTACAAGAATACCGGGTACCAGTGCGGTATTTGTTCAGAGTTACGGTATTGGTTTAACATTATTATCTTATTTGTATAATCTGTCCTATCGTATGTCGTATACCACACGTTAAATTTTTGTGTTTTTTGTGTTTTTTTTAATTGCTGTAATTTGTGGAGTACCACCGATTCATCTTTGGTGCCATTAACTCCCATTTCAAAGGGAGTTTTACTAGCAAAGCAAAATTGTTATTGTTATTGTTATTTTAAAGGAAACTAAGATACAGCTGATTCACGTTAGTATAATTATTGTTATTAATTTTTCTTAATACAAAGAATAAAAAATTCAGACACTAACAAACTCTTGATAAACTCTAATGATATATATATACATATATATGCATATATATAATTATATATGCATACATATATATATGTACATATGCATATATGTATATGTATATATGTATATGTATATAAATCATGCTACGTAGAACTGAACATAAACAAATAGGTATAGGATTTTATATATTTATGTATGTATGACAACCCAGTCAGCAGGTTTTTCTGCGCAAAATAGAATTTAATTACTGTAACGTTATTGCCCATTCGTGTCACGGAAAGAACAAATAAAATACACATAAAAATAATTTTTGACTAAGTCAAAAGAGCACCAAAAATGTTTAGGGACTCATGACACATATAAAGTCAACAACAATAATAGGCCCTAATACATTTAATAATACTAGTAATAATTTAGAAAAATTTATTTTATGAGTTTACAAGGTACATTTGGAAAATTCTCCGCTTACAAAATACACAATGTACTGAACTTAGGACTTATATCCGTGAAGAGGTTTTTATAGATGCGGACTTTTGGCCTATGGAAAGCTTTACGCACATTTCCCGGGTAAAATTTTTAACTATGTAGTTGACATATAGTCTGCACGCTATATAATAACGGAAGTTGGACAGAACAGCTGATATATGTGTCAAGTCAAGACATCCGTTATTACCACTCAACAGAAACTGCAATGAAGGTAGGTCTATTAGTATTGTGACTCTTTGTTTACCGCTAAGTCCTATATAAATAACTGAAAAATAGTACGTCTAAACACTTTGTTTTTGTAATGTAAATTGTAAGTACATGTACCTTTATTATTATCTGATACTTATCTTTAGCTGTAGTATTTGATTATATAGATACATTGCCTAGTTGTTATCCATTCATATTTTTATATATATATATGCCTACCGAATGGTACGTATAATATGTACGAAATACTATGCTGTATACGATTATATTATATTAATTTTAATATTTTTACATATATCAATCGACGAAGGACTCTGCGTTAACCACAGACAATATTTATTTTTCATATTGAGGCCTAAAGATTAGTTTTAGCTTTTTTTATTTTGTATCAACCGAGAGTCATCGTTTCCGACATTGCTCATTTTCAGCGAAAACATGGTCTAGCTAGAATCCGGAATATTAACATCACGGGGCACATTGGCCTATACACTGGGACTTTATTCAATAGATAGGCATATACAGTACATTGTGTGACAATTGTTTGCTAAAAATATTATTTAACTTCTGTAATAATGTTAATTTTGTCAATAAAGTGAGACAGCGCCCTCACAAAGATTTCTCTAACGCGCGCATATGCCTTTCAATCATATAAAAAGATATTTGTAAAAATATAAACTATTTATCGTCTATTTGAAAAATAACAACAGCATAGGCTTACTTTATTTGAAGTAGGCCTATTTAACTATGTAGGCATAAAGTAGCTGGTGTTTAGTTTATTTAATTTCTTATTTACAGTATACAAAATATAATTAGATGCATGTATTATGTACATACTCCTATATAAATATATATACATGTATATGCCTATAATATTTTTTTACATCTCACAAAACATACCAATGTGGAGCTCACAGTTTAAATCCTAGGTCAGATTCAATATTAACAACACCGTGGGAGGACACCGCGGCGTAATGAAGAGGTATGTTGCTCCATAGCTTCGGGTCCCAATACTAGTCTTCCTCTGCGTAAGGTTCCGGGTATTTTGGACGTTTTAATAGTGTATTTTCTCCTTAAATTGGCCAATTTGCAAGGGCGCAGATCTGTTGGGTAGGGGACAAGAGACCTCACCCACATCAGCCCCACCACGGTTGGGGCTGAGGTGCGAACATTTGAGGAAATAGTCACACCTCTAGATGGCCAGAAATGACACTCTTATATAGTAAAATTCAACATCACATCACCATTAATTGTCATGATCTTTTATCAGCGATTTTCGGCAACTATAGAGATCTAATTAATATGTGTGATGTACCATAGAAAATAAAACTTAAAAATTGTCTTTAATGTAAATACTTTACCTCTTGAAAGCCGTGAGCCCACACCCACCTCAGCCCCACGGTTGAATTATGAGGTGCAAAAAATAAGAGGCAATAGTACCTCTAGATGGCCGGAAATGACACTTTTATATAGTAAAATTCATCATCATCACACCACCATTAATCTGCGATTTTCGGAAACCATAGAGATCGAATTCATATGTGTGATGTACCATAGAAAATAACACTTAAAAACATTGTCTTTAATGTATTTACTTTACTCTACCTCACTTTATTTTACCTACTTCTACACTATAAAATTTCATCAAAAAAGCGTCACATAAAATGTGATGGAAAATAAGAGTTGAACACGTTCAACTTTTTTTTTATACAGTTTGATCGTATGTAATATGACGTCATCGTACCCATATATGGGCACATCAGATTTTTTGTCACATAAAATTTGATAGTGTACCATTTTTATACCTCCATGTGTAGACAAAGCTTTATATTAGGCCTATAATAAAAGTAGTTATCATAACATCACTATGGTCTTTTATCAGTGATTTTAGGCTATCATCTAATTAATCTGTATTGTACCATGATAGAAAATAAAACTTATTGTTTTGATGTATTTACCTACTATTTCGTGTGCCGAAACTTTTGTACATTTTCTCATACTTATCAAATTATAACAAAAGCACACGCACTCGAGTCGCGTATTGTAGGTAATTCAGACGTTAGTAGTGATACCGGCCTACTTATTTGTAAAATAGGCCTATTTAGCGGCATTCACATCGGAACCAAACCGTAATGGAAGCGTTTCCGATGTGCTGAAGGAATTCGTCCATAATTTTATACATCCGTTTTGATTTCGATAGGCTTTCTGGTCCGAAGGATCGGATTAGGCGTGAAGGAACTTTTAGGCTGGCGTATGCCTGAATATTAGCACGATCATCGGGCTCAGTATAGATATAAGCCTACTACTGTAGGTCCATAGATTAAATTCCTTAAAATTCAATACAACTATTAGGCCAATGGACCTTTGTATTATAGGGAAATAGACAAGTATAGGAAATGAGTCCATTTTTCCTTTGTACACTCTCAAACGCTGTCTCTTATACACATCTAGATGTGTATAAGAGACAGTATATATACCAGCGTCTCGGGTTCAAATCCTTTGACAGCACAGGATTTTTCTCACTACTAAAAACACATAGCATCACATAAAGCAACTCTATAAAAACATGCCTGCAATTCCAGGAAAATAATATTATTTATTTTATATTTTATGGAATGTGCTTTTAATCATTCGACAAAAAAGTAAAGGGCGTAATTTGTTTTAAATAACAAATTTACTTCTTCTGCAGGCGGTAAAATATTATCTGGGTTATGAGGGGCAGCTTTTCCAAACACGGCTTCCCATGTGAAAACCCTCTAAACTAATCAATTTTATTGCCAATTCGATTGTCAAATCTTTCTAAACAACAGTGTTTTGTATGCAATGCCGTAGCCAGCTATTGAGGCAGTTGGGACAGTCCCACACAATTTTTCTAATGGGTCCACAAAGAATGGGTCCACATTTTTAAAAAATGGGTCAAAATTATGTAATTTTATGCATAAAATTGGTCCACTTTCTGAAAAATGGGTCCAGATTTCTAATATTTAGCTTAAAATGGGTACAATTAAAGAAAATGGGTCCAGATATTTCATATATTTGCGTAAAATGGGTCCACATTGTTTGAATTTACGCGTAAAGTGGGTCCACCCTGATATTGTCCCGAACTGTTAAAATATCCTGGACACGGCATTGTTTGTATGTTTTTACGTCCTTTGAAATTTTACGTCCTTTAATATTTTTTTTAATCTTTTACTTCTAATGTTTTACATTTATTAATATTATCATTATAAATTAAATTAAATATCCCCACACTACGATATTTTATACGACAAAAAACACTGGCAAAACCATAACCGGTATTACCGCCAGGCTGTTCGCTATGGTTCTGGTTCTTAAAGCCAACAACCCAATGACTAAAAAATTAGTATAATTATAACAGCAGGGTTGCAGTGAGAGAAGTGACGCCCAGCGCCTGTCACGAGTAAGCTGCCGTACCGCCTAAGGCCCAAATGACCTGATAAGTAGGAAACTCACAATTACACTCCAACAAGATACTTCCGAATCAAAACTAATTTGTACATTAAATTTATTTATATTTTATTGTACAGCAGGCCTAGGCCTACACCCACACGGCCAATAGATATACACGCACAAAACTGTGTGACTACATTATATGACCGTTTGCTAAATTTCAAGGTGAATTTATGTCACGTATTACTTCGAAAATCCGATGATTAATTATGATTGAACTATATAGAATCAAACTAATTAATTATAATGAAAATGTGCATTCAGGCATGCGATATGATGACGTCACATCCACAACTAACCCTCCCTTCCCCTATGAACTGCTCAATTAATTAAGATCCGGTTGTACACTGTCGTCTACACTTTAGGATTGACTTCCATGCCCTAGCGGACTAACTAACTTACGTCATAGTGGGTGTATAATGGATATAAAACCAGCTCAGCTGTGAATTGAACTAAAAGTATTACGATACCGTCACATACATAAGCTACACCCGGCTTTGTTGTCATTCACTCAGTCGCTTCGGTCAGATTCTCTTGTAGATGTCGTCATGAATACACTCTGTACTTAAGGGTATCATGTGTGTGGGCGGAAATAATTGTCTTGTACTTCCACTTTATTATATTACGCAGCACTCCCCAAATTCATTTTCTCCACTTGGTACACCATATAACGGAATCGGACGTATGGTTTTAATATATTATACGTGACACTGCGTCACGTCCGTTGTTTTAAAGTGCTCATGTTTGTCTGTTTCACTCGTTAAAAATCAGAGCACCCACCCATGCCTATGTTGTACACCACTATCAAACCATGGAGGTATTCCATGATCAAACACAGGGCATATGCCTAGGTTTAAGTCATGTATATATTATATTGTAACGAAATATTTGGCGGCCCTGCTCCAATTCGCTCTATTTATATTTTATTTTCGTTATAGGCCTACTGTTGTCGTTTTAATGTTATTTTATACCAATACCAAGCATACTTAACACATTTCTGTATATAGACCACTAAAAGTTCTTATCTTGATTCTTGTGACTATCGGAATTCGAAGGAGTGGTAAGAGGGGGTTGTTTCCCTTGTTTCAAAGAAAGTGGAAACTGGGCCCTTCAAGCTGTTGTGTTGGGGCTTAAGTCCCCTGCCCTAACTTCCCATAGATTTTCCACTGGCCCTATACCCCGGCGTGACGATATAAACCCAGGGGACGTCGAAAACGAATCAAAGTCAAATCAAATATAAATATTACAAAGAACTGATTGTCCGTTAAATCTCTTATTACAATGGACATACGAAATACACTATAGGCCTACAGATTTTCTGGACATATGCATGTTAAGTGATCGATAAAACCCGAACCGTAACCTAGATAATAATGTATCTGATATTTTACAGCCTCTTCATTTTCTTATGATTGCAAACAATAGTGTCTCCTGCAGATCGTGTACATGTTAGAAAGAGACAGTTTGTGTTTAAAATGTCTGATCTACGGCCTTCTATGTATTTTTTACAAATGACAATAAATGGAAATGAATGAATGATTGAATGAATGAATGAATGAATGTGAAATACGCGTCCTCCAAATTTCTCCTTTGATTAATATCTCAAAGATGCGCAAGAGATACTTTGTCCCCCTCGTCAGTGGGAGGCCAGTTTTCCGTCGGGAGGATTCCCCCTATCAGGAAAGATTGTTACTCGTCGGGGAGAAAAAAATATCTATGCCTATGTAATGTTACAGACAATGACACTGAAATCGATTAAATAACCCATTAAATCCCTATAGTCGAAGCTGGCCAGCCCACATATGCTCCCGTCCAGGACATGCTCTCTCCCCCACTCGTCGGATAATAAAACAATGACACGAACGGAGGTGTATTAATAACCAGTTAAAATTAATAATCATGTGTGTAATATTAGAATGATGGTGGGCTAAAACAAAATTAGAATAGTCTAATCAATGATAAATTATTTCCAGGACTCATGAAGAAAAAAATTGTATGATTTATGAAGATTATCTTCAATTCACAGACTCCTATTGCGAAATAGATGTGAACCAAATGAACAGACGCACTTCGGAGATACTGCATTGCACCTAGCGTCCTCTCGCAATCATTTAGGCGTTGCAAAGGCACTGATAGAGGCTGGCACCGACATTACACTCCTCAATTCTAGAGCTAGAAACGCCATACAAGAGGCTCAAATAGAAGGATCCGATCTCGTACTCGATTACTTTACCAAGCTGTTTTTCGAAGGTTTGTCAAGAAAATGATGTAAAAATATAATGGGCTTATTGTGCGTGAAAGATACACTTTAAAATAACATATATGTATAATGTATTATATATAGGTGTATATATAGGCCATATGTAAACGTCTAATTACTATATGCCCATTATTACCAAGCATAATTATTTATTATCTTCACCATCATTATCAATCTCAATATGACTTATCATCATAATTCATATCATCACCATTATCATTATTAATAATACAAAAAATATAAGCTATTTATATAAGCAAAAAATTAAACCGAAATTGTATCATTGTTGTTATAGGAAATAACGAGACAAACACGCCAAGTGAAATTTCTTACACCACAATTACGCAGACTTCTCGTCTTCCAAAAAATACTGAACATAGAAAAACACAAGAAGGACTGACAGATTGCAGGGGAAAACCTGAGACATTTGCGGATCACACAAAACCTAAAAAGTCCAGTAGGTGGTTACATGAGATCAGCAACGGAGAGTACGAATTTTTAGGGTCATCAGAGGAAGAAAATGACTTAAGTAGAGTGGACTCATATGAGGACCCAATGGAGAAGTTAAATATCGAACCAACATCCTCAAGTGCACAAAATAGGCTGAAATACTTGGAAGAAACTATCGGAACTTTACTGACAGATTACCAAAAGACAAAATCAGAATTAAAGAGCATTCAAAATGAATTGGATGAAACGCGAAATCTGTTAAAATCTTGTAAACACAATTCTTGCCATCATTGCGGTTCAAGATATCATGAGAAAGCTGTAGCAGACGACACAGCGAAACCTCTGCAGGGCTACCATGAGACAGATAGAGGGACAAATGCCCAGTGTGGCTACCAGAGAAAAGTTGGATTTGATATCCAGCTGTGATTCAAATAGCCTACTGTAACCACAAACGGAACTGACGTATTTCTATTGTACAGGTACATGATGCTACTGATGACGTAATATCTACGCAAAAGCCCAGTACAATATACTGTAAAATTAGTGGATATTAAATAATATTAAATAGACCTTGGTTAAAGATATGTTAAAATCACTGCCATTGCCATTATGTCCAGTCCGGCCTTTAGGTCTTTGTACTGCATATATAGCATATTAGTCTACGTGGGTATTTTTCATTGTTATTGATAGAGCTTTGATAAAATCATGACTTTTAAGTTATCAAAATAATCTGTAGGCGTAAAAGGAGTTTCGATTGATTTTTCCCGCATTACATGATATAATGTTTTAGAAATTTATAAAAAGAACTCATTTTGAGATCCTTAATGCTAAGCTTTCATTGTATTTGAAAGTATGATTCCAGAACACGTTCTCAACGAGAACTAGGCTATAGTAGGTGCGTTAAGCTCCAGTATTAGGGAGTTTTCGAAAGCTCACGAAAACGATAACAAATACGGTTACGTCATCACATTTTTAGGGACCCCCTCCCCCTACAGTAGCATGTCTGTCACAGCGTAGGCGATTTATGCCTTTCGCATGAATGAAGGATAATATTCAGCTCGTACAGTATAGTAGCATTGTCAAGATTGTTTTAGGCACGAATGACGATGAGAATGACGTATTCGTTATCGTTTTGGTAAGGTTGCAAAATCTCCATATTATTATTAATCTTTGTACATAAGAATATCGTTATGCAGTGACATTAATGTCATCACAATCCTCACTGTCAACATTCTCCTCAGTATCATTATAATTATGCCAATATTTATCTATCCAATCTGGTAACACTGTTTTTTTTTTAATTGTAGGCCTAACCAGTGTTATAAAATGTATGTGTTTTTATTTTACTATAAAATATTTATTATTATTACTAAATACTGTAATTACCAAGTGTAACTCGCCAAAAATTACTGTATATTACTAATATGTGTATTACTATATATAGAGTATAAGTAAACAATTACCTGTTTATATGACTTGTCAATTTTACTATCAAATATTTATTATTATTACTAAATACTGTAATTACAAAGTGTAACTCGCCAAAAATTACTGTATATTACTAATAGGTGTATTACTGTATATAGAGTATAAGTAAACAATTACCTGTTTATGACTTGTCAAAAAAAACCCCAAAAACCCACACTTTACAACACAGTTGTAGAGTAACTAGCCAAGAATTATATTACTATATGAATATTGGTACAAAAATATGGTTTAAAATTCTTTATCTCGAATTAAAAAAAAAAATTAATGCAAATTAGCTGCAATATGACTAATCAATAAAACAAATTTAAACAAAAGTTATATTATAGGCCTATACAGTATATGTGTTGGCATTATTTATAAATATTGATTTTATCATGATTATAAGTATTATTACAATGTCTATTAGGCATAGTAATGCATGGGAATGCAGATCGACAATAAAGAAACATATTTAACGTCAAATCAAAAGTACGTCATACGATTATCATAATGTTGTTTTTTTTTAAATGTTTTTATAACAATAAATTATAATACAAACACACTTGGCTTACTAAAGACTCGTTGTGTTCGACGCGGAAGTTCAACCACATCCGACTGAATCAGATTCTACTATTTCAGGGTCGAGGAGTATTATGATTTTGTTAAAACTGATTGAACATAATAAACACAACACCAAGGACGGACATTCATAAAATGACGGAAGTACGACCAATGAAAAGATGTCTTGGATACGAGGAAAATAAGTATACGGACATAATGCATTCAATTTTCAAGGATAGGATGTAAGGGAGCTCTCGATTATTGCACGACGACGGAAAAATCTAGCTTAGAACCTTAATGACGTCACACACACACACACACACACACTTATTTGTGCATACGAAAACAGTAAGGACGCAGTTTGGCCGGAATCCTCGCTGTGCAGAAGATAATATTAATTCTTATTTACTCTGTACAGACACCATTTACATCAGCGGCACTCAATGAGGTCAACCATGACATTAAAACTTAAATGAAAGCTAACAACTTAACTAGAAAAATACATAAGATATGGATAAGAGAACACAGTTGAGTATAAGCCGTCGTGAAAACCGAAAGAATATTGACGGAAGTTATGTTAGGCCTTATATCGATTTGCATCTCAAGATTCTACTCAAATAAATTCTTTAATTCTTTGTTATCAAATGTAGGCCTATTCCTTATGCTTTACAAATATTTCTTTATTGTCAAATCGACAACTTGAAAAGATTTAAAAAATAAAAATGAACGAAATATATAATCTCCAACGATGGTGTATTTGACAATGTTGGAGTGACTATTCTCATCTTACGCCTAATCATACGGATTTTTTAAATAATCAAAACTAATTAAAATTACAAATTTCACTCTAAAAATAGGCTATAGTCGTCGTCGAAAATTTATGATTTTAAATGGCACTTTCAGACTTAAATTTTAATATAATTTCCTTTTTTTATAATTTAAAAAATAGGGGGTGGGGGCCGGCTGGGGACTGAATACACCACTGATTTGAAATCAACAGTAATCAATAATTACTCCTTTAAAAACTGAATAGGCCTATTACTGAGGGGCCCGCATTCTTCAAAAACATTAAGTTAGAAATTACTTTAAATTATTATTTTTAGGTCTATATTTCATGAATTGACCCCTAATAGTCCTTGGCTCCAGTGCTATGCACTGGCTGCACTGCCCCTAGTAATTCCATTAAAAAAGGTTTGCTTGATGTCAGTTAACACAGCAATTTATAAGATTTGTTTAATATTTATATATATTATTTATATTTAAATTCATTTATGGGTCTATGTATGGAACGATAATGTTAATCTCCTTTCCAATTTTTATTGTTCTTCATAATTATTTGTTAACGAATTTATTGTGTCACTTGGAAAAAAGTAAGAGAAAGGAAATAAAAGAACAACAAATATTATTTATTTATAAAAAATATTTTCTGATCCAAATTTTAAATCAAATGCTAATACTAACTTATTAAAATAGTTCTACAAAGTAATTCGTATTATTATATTGAATTGTATTATTTATTATTTATTTATAGAATATCTGTATTAAAGTTGATACAGTAGGCCTATGTGTGCTAATGAAATAAAGAACTACGCAAAAACAAGCCTTACGCAATCGCTAAGCCGAAGGAGATGCCATGATTTCAACAATATATTAATTTTGATCACTGTTTACCATCATATTAGTTACATGTTATCCTTGATGTTAAAAATGAAATATTTCTTTAGCTGATAATTTTCTCTCCCGATGCACTACAATATTCAAGGAATATTTAACATGGAATCATCACCGATTACGCGATTAATTGGTGTGCTCTAACAATGTCGTATAATGACCCTTCGTTACGACATTTATTAGGGTTTCGATTGCGCGCGCGATCGCCGACCCGGATTAAACAGACAGCTGAATCATGGACCTATTAATTTATAGGTCCATGGCTGAATGACATTATCCTTGATTATATGCGGAAGCATGTACAGTACATCCGACTACCCGTTTGGGTGCCTAACTAGAATACCTATATTTTAAGCTACTTATCTAGGACTATTGCTGTTTACAGCCTGTGCATGTATGTGAAATATGACAATAATTTGGGAGATCATTCCGGGAAGGAAACCAGAGTCAGACGGGCACCGCGGTTCCTATTAACGTTCTCATCGGGAAGGGGAGGGGGACACAATGAGGTCTGTTTGCCTGTTTATAAACTATGATGACGTTACATACATACACACAGACACCCGAACGTACCCACACACATACACTCTGACGATCGCAAAGATTATTAAAAGTTAATAGGAACCAAAAAGTACTGGACACCAATCTAACAAAATAACCTCTTTTTTACTTTAATTTGTACTTAGTATTTTGGTGTTCGTTCAGTTCGCATGCATTTGGTTTTGTAGACCTTCGAAAATTAATAATTGTTGGGCTTAAATAATCAATACCGGTATGTTTCCGATTACTAACTTGTTATTTAATCCCTAATAATGCCGTCATGATGACTGAGCATTCTATATTGTATTGTATTGTAGTATACCATTTCATTATTGTTTGAATAGCAAGATTTTCTATACCTCCATGCTCTCGCAAACCTTAAACATAAACAGCTAAAAAGGGCCCGGCGCGCAGGGAAACGTCCTATACCTATACAAAGTAATACCGGGGGATCAATTTTACAGAAGCCGATCAACAAAGTGGAACTTTTCTGTGATCAGGGAGGTGCTATATCGATGCTGTGACAAGACTAACACAGAATAAGACCTGGCCTGTATGGTTTAAGCTACAACTGGCATAATTTAACAACCATGGTAGCCAAGGAAGTACAGTAAAAGTCAAAGTAAAAGTAGAATACAAATCAACATTTCCCCTTTTCATTATTTCCCGGAAAAAATAACTTGGCTCGAATGTAAGATGTACCGGAGTAAATCATGCAAATCAATCACATCTGAAGAAGTCACGTTCAGTGATAAAATCTAGTATGTTATCACGTATTTCGTTAGTTTCGAAGCGGTTTAAAAAAAATTACATTGTTACCGACTCATGCGTTTCAAACTTTCAAGTTCGTCGCCGAGCCGCGGTCGGGCAGATGTCACAACATCGCCGTCGCAATAAAAGCGAGTTCAATGAACTTAAATCGTAAAATAACTACAAGGACTATACAACAATACAATTGATGGGATGTAAACAATCAGGTTAGAAACAATAAGTAGGCCTATGGGGAAATTCCGACAGATAGGCCTAGCGGTAGTCCCGGATTTCTATACAATATCGACCTTGAGGACAACTCGGATACAGAATAGGCGACAATTTCAGGATACCATGGTATATTCAAGCCATGGCCTACTTGCAAGAACCCTTAAGACTGCCTGTCCCAGAAAACCAGGCAGTATGATAAATTCGGGGAGAATGAGGGTAGCTAATTTTCTTTCATATTCTCAGGTTTAAGTTCACTCCACTCAAGTTTCATAATAAGGGTAGTGAAAAAATCTGGTGACCCCCCTGTTACGAGACGCCAGACCATCCCAAATTACCCTCTGGGGGCCTTCTGAATACCAAAACTGCTAATTTCTCAGTAGAACATTATATGATCGTTATCGCCCATCTTTGGTTATCCTAACAGATGTTCGTTATTGTTTTCAGACAACGAATTACATACAAGAAAACATAAACAAAGAAATGCACCAACTGAAAAAAAAACAAAAAACGAAAAGTGTTGGATTTATTTTCAGGAATTCCTGATTTTGAAAAAAAAAAAAAAAAAAAAAAAAAACCTATACAGACCGCTTTCGTCCCGTTCCTTTTTGAAGATACTGTACTCTCATAATATTCACCACCAACAGGCTGTTATAACAATTGAATGTAAAAATATTTCCCACCAGACACTATAATATTATTAAATATAATGACAACAATAACGATGATAATGATAATGCCGATGATGACAATATTATTATTAACAATAATAATAATAATAATAATAATAATAATAATAATGGTAAAACTATTTCCACCAGACATAATAAACATAACAATAAATAATGATAATAATAATATTAATAATAATATGTTGACTCATATTGAGCAAATAACTATTAAATTATTTAAAGTATGATCCAAAGTTCGAAAATAATTGTAGAAGTTCTGCCATGTAGGTATGGTACGCCAACTTCAGGTATCACACGAATTAATAATAATAATAATAATATTTATTTTGGCAAGTAAAAAGTAAAATTTATTGATCACATTTAAAGATTACAGAATTACTGCGTCACTGCTGATGGAAGGACAACCATTCTACTTTCTCACTTTTCTTGTTACGTTAGGTTTAACTTCATATTTCTAATCACGAATTGTGAGAGCAGCCTAACTATACAAAAAGCATTATAGGTCTACAGTATTTAGATGAAAGTGTTAGGTTAATTCAACACATTGAGTCTGGTTTTAAATGGTAACAAATAAGATCACTTCTCAAATAACAAGTGACGCGCCAAATTTTTATCTCACAACCTCAAAAATAAAGCATATCATTTTAAACAAATCTAGTCCTGATATGTATATATATTTTTTAGTTATGTACATATTGATCAATATTGAATAATTATTTGAAATAATATTATTGTTTTTGAAAAACAGTATTTTTCCATAAGGTTATTTTACAATAACACTTTAAAACTAATGATTTTGACCCTAAACTTTTGACATACTCATATTTTTCATATAATCATAAAAAAAATGTAAACACAAAGTTACCAAAGCAGTGTGTATATATGCAAATTATACCTCCACCCATCTTATCCAGACCATCAAATTTTGTCTAAATATGGTCATGGTGATATCACACCATGACCATATATAGGCACACCATGACTATATATGGGCATCACACTGTGTGATTGGTCACACACTATTTTGTTATTTTCTTGTTATTTTAGTATTTATATAGCGCCTATTCCGTTTACAAAGCGTGGTCATTGGGTCCACATGCTTGAGTGTTGCTGCCATATTGGCGCAATAGCAGGCAACCCCACAGGGTACCCACTTATACTCCTGGGTGGAGAGAAGCAATGTAGATAAAGTGTCTTGATCAAGGACACAAGTGAAATACACAGCGAGGAATTAAAACCCCAACCTTAAGGTTGGGAAACCCAACTGTTCCTGCTACACCAAACCGCTTCCACAACGCTTCCAATTTTAATTTTTAATGTATGTACATCCTAACTAACAAAATACATACTGACAAAATATTCCATTTCAAATTCTACATACAAATTCATAAGTACTATATTATAAATGATTGCAGTATGAAAAAAAAAATCTATAATTAAAAATATATTTTAAAATCGTTTCTGCAAACGCCTCCCAATATTATTAAAAGTGAAATTGTTTGTAGTTAATAAATTTTAATTGCACTCCATATGAATAATTAAATATATAAACACAAGACATTCTTTATATCTTGTTTTACCATGGTTTTTAGAAACTCGCTGCATGCTAATAATAGTGATACTGACTACAACTATAATCCTATTTTTGACCTAATACCACACCCTCCGATTTAGAAAATTAAAATAAAAAAAAAAACATTTTCAAAAAACTGCAATTATGCTTTCCACTGCCGAGATATCTCTACAGAAAAATTCCTTATTTTTTCCTGCAATTACATGAATTTAAAAAGCATTTAGCAATCTTGCTTACTGATCTTTTACAACATAAGATCATATTCTTTATATGAAATTCAGCAATTTAAGACACTGTATACTCTTTTTCATCTCTCTCCAATTTATTTTCATTTTCCGCCAAGATGCATGTGGCACATTTATTATTAACTAATGTCATGAGAAAACAATTAAAAAAATATAATAATAATAATAATAATAATAATATAGAAATTTATATAGCGCCTTTTGCCAAAGGATACAAGGTGCTTAGAAAAGGTTTATAAAAGGTTTATAAAAGGTTTATAATGCTTTCCTCTGAACAGTGGCGGCGCAACGAGGCGGGGGGGGGGGAGGCATGGCTTCATCCCCTCCCCCACATCAGGGAGGCCTTGCTTCCCCCTGTCGGGGAGAAAAACCACAATTCATTGGGGAGAAAGAAAAATTCAAAAAAATTATATGTATTTTGTACATATTAATAGATTCTAAAATTGATTAAATAAGCCTTTGAAACCCCTAAATTGTCATATTTTTTGGGGGCTACGTCCCTGGACCACTTTTGAAAGTTTTTTAGCGATGCCCGACCACGTCCACTTTTTTCTCGTCCGGGACATCATCCCCCCTCCCCCGTCGGCGACCTTGGATCTTGGATTTTAAATCAGATGACTTCACCTGGTGACCATAATTGTCAGACGGAGAGAAATGTCCCTCTTGGCTACTGCTTCAGTCACCAATATCACTGTCTTTATCACCCACTTCCCATACGACGTAGAAGCCAAGTGCTAAAAGTGCTGTTCCCAGAAGATCGCCCAAAGCAGTTAAATACGGAATGGAAAAGTTGTCCGGGTCCTTTTTTTTCTCCCATAAAAAATGAATCAAGCAATCAGCTGTGTACAACAGGATAGCAACCTAGGAAGATATGAAGCAAACAATTGAAAACCAATAATGTCACCTACAATGTTTACAAAATTAACAAACATGTACCACTAAAAGAGCAATATATTTTCTACCATGTTCTACATACATACTTAACTCTCAAATAAATCATATAAACAATGTGTTATCTGTCAATTAATCTATATCCTTGTTAACCAACTTCTACTTAAATCCTAAAATATTTGTCAGATAAAGTAATGTGTTTATCTCTATATCCTTAACTGACTTTCAGGTACACAATTCCTATTCATATTTAAATGCTTAAATACGAATTTACTCTACACTCTCCACCAACTTCAACCAGTTGCCCACCTAATTCAAATTCTAAAAAAAAAGCTTTCCTAAATGTGCCTCAAAACACATTTAAGAACATTTGTTATCATGAAACACTGAAACCAAATATTTGTCAAAATACTACTTCAGATATATGAATATCTCAAATTAACCTGGCATACAACACCACTAATTTTGTCATGACATCTCACATACATATTATCTTTGTAAGTGGGACAGGTTCATCAGACCACAAAATTATAAGAGGGAACTTTTCTTATGGCTGCAGGATTTAAGACGACCACAAAATAAAAGATTAATATGTGGTAGTTGACATAAGGTTAAGATAAACATCCTATTAGTCAACCACAAATAACACTACACAAACACCTTACCCCAATTACAGTAAACCCACACACAATAGCTCACTTTTGGAAGTCAACTGCTTTTAAAGTAAATAATAAAACCATGTTTCAGGTAAAAAGATCATTGCAATTCTCTGAATAAAGGAAAAGCATCATGCATAAAGGTGGTTTGTGTCTCCTCAACTTCTACTTCTACTGTAATACTAGTAATACTGTAAATCACATTTTATAAAAAAAAAAATAAAATAATAATATCATAGTCAAAAGCATAATGAAATTAATTTTCAGAGGATTATTTGTTTTACATGGCTGACAAAAATAGGGTGAGGTTTCAGGAGAGGAAGTAGAAAAAGTGATGAGGTTGATGAATGGCAAGGTTCACTTACAGAGTTACTGCAGTGGTGGATCCAGGAATTCAAAATAGAGGGAGCCCTGGGGAGGTACTTTCACCGATGGAGGATCTATACCTGATTATGGCATCTTTAGATGGCTGAAAATTGCACTCTCAAAATTTGAAAATAATTTATATCTTCATTAAAAAAGAAAAATTGAACAATTTAGGTTGGCCCGGGCCGTCTGGGTACCCACCCCCTTGAATCTGCCACTGTACTGTATGGCTAAGATAAAAAAAAAAATCAAAGCATGTGCTTAGTTAGGGGTCATCCATTATTTTCATCCCTTTCACTCTGTCTCTTATAGGGGAGTTGAGGCATGTGTACGCTTTTAAAAAAGTACAAAAATGACGATTTCGAAAAGTTGGCCTACGTTTTTGTGCCTAGGCATTTCCCTAGAAAGCCAAAGTTTACCGTTATAAATTCACTGGTAAATGTTTAGTTTATCAACTGTTTATACACAGCGATGAGTTGATAAGCATTGTGTACTTTCAAATACAAGGGAAATGCACTCTAGCTCCGTAAATTAAGCCAGTAGCCGACAAAACCACACATCCTGACACTGACAGTAGGGTAGCAGCATTGGGAGCATGTGTTTCACTGTGCTAAGCCTACCTTATTTCTTCTCCCTTCTTCTACAGTCTATTTCACTAGGCCAAATTCCTACATTTTAAATTCAATGGGCCTACAACACTCACTCAATTTAACATTTTAACACACAATTTATTATTTGTATTCCATGGATATGCATGATGACATATATTTTACGTGTTATCTATTACTAAGGTCTAGAGGCAGTGTGAAGTTGGCCCGCATCCAAAAAAAACAAACAAATCACACGCCACTAATCTAGGTGAAAGGTTAAACATGTGCTTCACTTCTTGCTCGTCAATTCTTAAACTTGCTTTCTACTTCCTCTGATGTCTATGTGGTAATAAATTTAACAACATGAAATGTTTATTAATTATTGTTTTTTAATGAATTATTATTATTAACATGGTAGACCATATATGCAAGTTTGCTACGTCAAAAATGGAACCTACCACTAGATTGGCTATGTGGTAATTGGGTCAAGATTGAGCTCATGTTTTTTGATTGGCAAATTATTCGTGGCACCGTGTGTCGGTCTATTGTCCTGGTAACCAAACAAGCAATCAGTTATTATTTAGTTCTGGTATTTTACAAGCTGCTGGTAGCAGAGTGATATTGTTTGTAATGATTATTTCTATTTAAGGATAGTGTTACCTGTCGGGATATATTTTATATATATATTATATTTTGTCAAAATATAATATATATTATATTTTGTCAGCAAAAAAAGTATGTTTTGTACTCTCAAGAAACTGATGAAGATAATTGATGACCCCTTAGGACCTTTGCTTAAAAAAAAACTTATTTTGAAATCAATAGAGGGCTCACTTTAAAATGTCATAACAGGTTCCTTACCTGAAGTATTGCAACAGAAAGATACATTACTGTCACTCGACCTGTGATTGAGGTATGCCCAGCCTTTATGTACGCTATCATATATAGAAATATCAGTTGACCAGGTATTACCATTATAAGCAGAACTCTTGCTGTTTTTGAATGCTGACCTGTGAGCAGATGATGGTAGAATAACATAAGAAAAACAAAATAACATAAGAGGAGGGGCATAATTTTGTGCTTCTTTATGTAATTACTTACACCAAGCAATACGCATACAGTCAGCAAGACCATTTATTGTAAAGTTAACACAATTTGGTTTTGTCCAAAAGGATTTTCTACTAAAATACTGTAGAGCATTGTTGTGCGGGTGCCCTTTATTTTGCATATTTCACCGTTGAAAAAACACTGCGAAAATTTAGAGCCGCAAAAATCGTGACTGTCAAAAAAATAATTATCTTCGAAGATCGTAGAATATATTTACGAGAGTGCTGTTGAACAGAAATTCAACTTAGTATTACCAGATAAAGTAAAAGCAAAATTGAGCTAGATTACACCATTAAGCTATCATATATACCAAGCACCTTATACTGCAGCAAAAAATAAGCTAAAAACCACATCAAGCGAAGTGTGTATATACCACATAAGACACAGCGCTTCCCAACTCAACGTCTTCATGTAGACAGGCGATTAATAAAATGTATTTTTGTTGAAAATCACAAGCATAAATATGTTGCCATCTGAGCAACTACCATATCCAAGGCCACAGGTAGTAACTATATAACAAAATCATTATTCCAAATTTGAAAGAGTGCATTTGCAACACAAAATCATGAACACAGGTAATTAAACATTGGTATATTGTATGTATAGTGAAATATCTTTCAGATTTTCTTAATAAATCTGTAAAAATACTCCTTAACAAATTGCTTCAAATGGCAAATAAAAAAAAAAATCACTCTACATGTTTTACAGCGCATTGAGAACAGAAAAACTTACCATCAACGAAGAATACTCTGCAAGGGTTTATACAAAATCTTGACCTATCTTCCACTGGTGTGCCAGGAGCACCGAGCTTATGCAACGACGTTGACAACCGACTTGCGTGCACCGCAACCAGGTTACCCCCAACGCCATTGATGACGGGGCTAAAAACTGCAACACCAGCATTCTGACGAATTGCAATATCTAAGACTAGTCCACCACAGCTTTAAGATAGGAAAGTTGGATATAATCCAAGATCTAGTTTTAGCCATCTTGGCTGATTATCATATCACAATAGTAGTGTGTATATGGAAATGTCAGATAGAGTATCTTGATTTAAACTAACAAAAAGTCTGGAAGCCAAGCATTTGCAAAAGATTCATCTGAGTAGCCTACATGGAAAACCACGCTGGTGGAAATGCAGCTTGGTGGTTAAAATGCTTGCCTTCCGATCCCATTGTCCTGGGTTCAAATCCTAAGCTTTGCAATAAAATTCATTCAGAAAAAGCATTACATTGTTATATTTATTTAGGAGGGCCTTCAATTATTATCTAACCTTCTATCATAAACTAAAGGGTCACCCTCTATAAATTTATTCTTAAAAAACAAGGTTCCTCTTTGATTTTTACTTAAGCATACACTGTGTTAGCACAACTCTGTATGCAATTATTTACTTTCTTTGCTGACATACCTACTAATCAACATGGCGGTAATAACAGGAGACCATCCCGCATACAGGACCTCATGTGTATAGGAATTGTGATGTGAGATGTATGCCCACAAAGGAACAAGGACTAAAAACAATACAATGATTGTTGGTGCTAACCAATGCTGTTTACCTGGGGAGAAAAAAAAACATCATTAGGGGTCATGTCTTTTTCATATATGAGAATTCCTTGTTAACAATACAGTATTGTAAGAATATTTATCATGGTCTATTAGCACATTATTTGCATAGGCCTTGACATCAGTGTTCAGGCCTAGAGAAATATTTGCTGTGCCTTGGACCTTGAAAATGATTATAAAATGCCTCCAGGCCAAACATTACCTATACACTATAAAACAGTAGTTGCCTGAAAATATATGTTCTTTTCTAAGCCGTAGAGAATGACCTTAATGCCTACATCTACATGGTAACACTTTTTCCAGCCCTGCCAATAGTTTTTAGTAGTAGTAGTAGTAGTAGTACTAAATAAGTAAATATTATTCTTATGTTAAGTAATAGAGAAATGATACTCAGGTATTTTGCTGAGTACCAATCTCAGCAAAAATACCTGGTTGGAACATTGCTAACATATTTTGAGAGATCGGCACTTACAACAAAACATAGAAATTAACTTACCAATTGCTTTGTATAGTATATTACTGATCCAGGCTAAGAGTGATAGAGTGGTGAGGTCACCAAGACTTGCTGCTATAGGAGTAGCCACGTTGTCAGGGTTTATGTGATATCGTTTGGACAACACAACTACAGCAACCATTACCGATCCTTCAATGAAAGAAATTTAACCGGGTTAACTAACCAGGACTGACTAATAATTAATGATCAATGATTAGTATTAGTGCTTAACAATTGGCATAAATTTAGTGTTAAATTAATATTCACAACAGAGGTGTGTAAAATGCATAATATAGGAATTATACTGCACAGTTGAATACAGATAAAAGGATCAGGCAATGTTGTTATTATTACCCCCTGGTCATTGAATCTATACTCTATACTGCCTAAAAATTCAAGGTGCAGGCATTGCTGTTATTACTGTACCCCCTGATCATTTTTTCATATTTACAAACACAGTGCAACCTTTCCCACTCCCTGGAGGGTATTCCTAGACTTGCTGCAATTTAAAATGTAGAGATAAATACTCTCAACACTTCTACCAGGTACCCTGTACACCATGAGCACAATGAGGATTTGAGCCACGACCTCAAGGTTAAGAGGCCAAAATGCAATCACTGTGCCAACCTCTCTGACATAATGGTGTAATATGCATGCAGTGCTCACATATGTCAAACCAAGAATACCAACAAAATATACAAGTATTAATTTATACAGTACAAGTTCAACATTTTATTTTGAAATTAATCAACGCCATACCAAACATTTAACCAAAGGAAAAAAAAAAATGGTCTTTAGTTTCCACACACTTGCTAGATACTTTGTTTCAGCCAGATCTGGACAGTTTCTAGCACAATCCTTTTACTCTACCATACAATGAATTCATGGTTTTGTGGTTCAGACAATCAAGTCTTAATTTATAGAGCATCAGAGTTCAAAATGAACAACTGCATCTTGATGGATCGTATCCACAAAAGGTTTACTTAACAAGATGACCTGAATGAAGAGAAGTACTGTATGTGCTTAGATGAAATAACATACCAAGTAGGCCACTGGCTAAGGATGCTGTGACAAGGCTACTGGCACAGAGTAGAAGGGTATGATTAAAATCTAGTTCTCCATCTGGAATCCAGCCCATAAGTATAGCGGCTAAGGATGCAAGGAATCCCACCACGATGGCCTGACACTGAAAGGCAACAAACCACCTTCTGGTTACATTGATTCTGTCAAATATTTGCATTCCAAAGTGGTCATATGATAATATGATAATTATTTTGCAATCCTGTAATTTGAAATTACATTTATAAAATACAGTCATGTTATTATTACATGATATCCATGTGATAATCATCAGCCAAAATCTCAAGATTTTTACATGTTTCACTAGCACATTTACTTATTTGCTGGTGAAACATGTAAAAATCTAGATTTTTACATGTTTCACCAGCAAATAAGTAAATGATATGACCGTATGGGAATGCCATTTTCAGAATTGAATTAGATTAAAAAAAAACAATGTTATTAATTTTCAACCAAAAGAAAATAATGATGAATATGTTAAGTATGAATATTTTGATTGTCAAAACCATTATTATGATGATACACAGTATTCCCTTAAGTTTGAAAAATACATGCAAATGCCCATTACTACCACAAACACGCCCTCTATTGACTAACCTGTGTTAGCGCCATATTACCACCGACCATTTTCCATAGTTCCTTTGGGGTGTCAATTGTCCCTAGGTTAGCCTGCAGGAAGAGAAATTTATATGCCACATCATTAGCAATATTATGTATACTGTACATACTGAAGTTAAAGTTACAATTGTCATTGTGATCACTTCATATCACCATGGACACAAGCAATGTGATAATTCAAGTCACTGTCTGGCTTATGCCTGAAATATATCTCTGACATTTACGTAAAAAGCAAGTTGATACCAGATCGGCATTTCACATAAATTTTTATCAGCCTATATTCAACAAACGTATTTTGGTAACAAATCTTTTCGATGTGAGGTGCCACTGATCTGAAACACCTTCCAGTACGCATTCAATTCACCATCTGTGGCTGTCTTTAGGTCTAATTTAAAAACTAACCTCTAATTAATAATCTTCATTCTTTATTCCTTATTATATTATTGTTACATTATTTATTTATGATTCTGTACTTTGCCACTGCTTCTTTTGATTTGTTTACTTTTTCTGTGCTTGAGTTGGCATTGATCATAACTGCCTGTAGGTTGCGAGGTGCTTGAGTATGTGGGGTGCAGCATTTCGTATCTGTCAAAAAGGTGCTATATATAAATGACCAGATTGAATACTAATACCACAACCACAGTGATTACCACCAATACAACATTATGTAACTTACAGCTGTTGACAACCTGGAAGCCAGTGTCATTTCCAGGTTTCCCTTTAGGCCAAGCAGAGCAGGCACCAAGATGAAGACTTCTCCAACTTTTTCAAATACATCCCAATGCTGGAAAAAGTGAAAATAGTATGTAAAGAATATTCAAATGACAATGAATATTTATAATGTAAATAAAATTATAAACCAACCAATACAGGCACCAAAAATATTAGTAGCTTTTTTAATGTACAAGGTTGACTTATACAAAAACAAATTGCCATCTTAATGTATAATATCTATTCAATTTGTAAACATTTCAATAAAACATCTTTACTTAATTTTTTAATGAAGTATTATTTTGTAAAATGAATGTAATTTTGGGTGTTTTCTTAAAACCATAATGAAAAATATCATGTTTACAATTTTGCCAGTGGAAGAGAATTTATATTATATATCATGAATGTACACATAAGGTAAGATTTATTTTAATTTCTCGATTGCTTAATAAAATAACTCAACATATTCAAAAGAACTTTAGCCAAGGCCATTGGAAAATTAACACAGCTGTTCAGTGGATTATTGATTATGTATGAATTGTATAACATCCTTGTATTGTATTGTTTTTTAACAGCCAATAGTCTTTGATCAAGTAACTCTTTGTGCTATCTGTTAACAGTTGTGTTACGTGAAATCGGTGATTACGAACAGCTGTTCTAATACAAATTTATGAACATGACTTCATACAATAAATCCAATAGATAACATTAGATTACAGCAGAATTAAAATATTAGAATATTTAATTACATCTTCTTAGGATTATTCATATCTCCTATTAAATTATTTCCCTTCTGTACATTCTGTCCAGTTAAATTATTAAGTTTGTTTCTGGCTGCAACTTATACCTAGGAAATCCCCTTTTTACTCAAATCAAAAGGCAATTTTTTACCCTACAGACCTAATTCAATATTTTATATTTTTTGTAAAAGAGTATTTGAAAATTTTACTTATTTGATCCATACCCTGGCCTTTGCTCAAAGACTGGTACATAATTTCCAATTATTTTTCTTTTCGAGAGGGGAAGAGGGTATATCCTTTATTGTTTTACATAAGATTAATAATAATATTTAATTGCCATTCAAGATATATACTCATTTGCCATGAAAGAGAATAGGCAATTCTGAACAAACAATTTGCAATTTTTAAAAATGTGACATTAGATAAAAAAACTGTCCACCAACCTGTACAATATCTAGTACCATACCCGCACCAACTGTTCCGAATCCGGCAATTAAAAAAGGCAGAAATATTTGTATAGATATAGTCATTGAAGTTTCATCTTTAATTTTTATATGGCTTTCTGCAATTGGCAACAAAGTCTGAGTGTCTTTTGAATTCACCAACAAGGAGTCTAGTGTTGTTTCTATCTCCTCTTCCGAATCTACTGTCTCTAGTTTTACTCTTCCATTTACCAATTTTTCCTCGTGATCACTTTCGATTTCAATATTATTTTGCGGTACCATTTTCTCCGCCTTATCCGATTTTGATATTCGTTGACGTAAACTGGTTGAAGGGTCAAGATGTGTTTGTCTCTCTGGGTAAGACATTGCTAGTCTCGAAGACTTACTTTACGCAATAACATAACTAAATGATGCTTTTTAGTAATTATCAACAGGAAAATCTGGCACAGCTGTTGGAAGAAAAAAATCACATGTCATTAACAGGTATACGTGCAACCCCTACCCCCCCCAAAAAAAAAAAAAAAAAGATTCAAATGCGCCTGGCCAAAACGATCCGGATACAATTTTATATGTACAGTATATGCTTGATCTATAATACGTCTTTGTATCTTAAAACTATGCTAATAATAACAATTTAATTTCAACTACATCATCCGACCAAACCGCCATGGTCCATATGGTTCGGGAAAACAGATGGATCATGCAGGTTTTCTCCCAGCCCCAGTGAGGTGGCTGACTGCTGATCGTGTGTGTACTGTATGGTATGGTGATGCAGCAAGATGACGTGGATGTGTTTCCGTAAAATTTACAATTGCACTTTGGTGGCGAATGTGCTGGATAACTACCTCGCAAATATTTCATTCACTAGTTTATCCAGAGTAGAAAGACATCTTAACACCTAATTAACGCCTAGGGCCTAGGCTACTCTATATCAGTCAGTCAACTTCTATCAAACAACCCTACACAACACAACTGGCAATTAAAATACGCTAGGCTCAGTTCATTTTTGTTTTCAATCGTGGCGTTGACCTCAAGAATAATCTCAATATAATTTATTTGGACAATGCTTTTACATCATTCTTTATACAACATATAAAGAAAAATATATAACCAGCGATTAAAAAGAATTTTACCTAACGTGCTAACTAAGAGTAATATGTTCCTACATTTAATTATATTTGTTTATAATAATCATTACAAAAAAGCCTCAACATGGATGCCCCCACAGAAGTCAATTTGCAAGGGAAATCATTTACAACGTATGAAGGTTAACATAATTATTGATACATTGTTTGCTTACTTTGTAGCATAATGCTTGCACTTCAAATTTTAAAATATAAATATTATTTATTTATAAAGATAGTAAATTAGATTTATCTTAGGCTAGGGCTAGGCAATCCTAGGCCTACAGACAGTACTACTCTGCTGTCTGTGTGTGTGTAGAGGTTAGGCCTAAACTAAAGTATGAGGCCTGTCTTAGGAAAAATTTGGTCCCGGGCCAAAATCGGTCCGGACCGATTTTGGATTTAAAATTACCTGCCTAATGTAGTCCACCATAAAGCCTAAATCAGTCCGAAGTCTAATTAGTAGTTATAACTTGTATGTATTTTTATAACATTGTCAACGTTAAAAAAAAAATATATGATCAACATCGTTGATCATATTAAAAAAAAAAAATCAAATGATAGATAAATATTAGTTCAATCAAATGATAGATAAAAATTAGTAGTTATAACTTGTATTTTTATAACGTTGATCATATATTTTTTTTAAAAATCAAATGATAGATAAATATCTTATCTCTCATTATTATATATATTATTAATTATAGGTGAAATTAAGTAAAGCTTTGCACCCAGTAAACCCTTTGGTGTAAAAGTACGATAAGAAGTTAAGTTAAACGATGTGGTCTTAAATCGTGTTGGTCCGCTTTAGTTAAATTTTTTACCAAGAATTTTTTTATGTATTAGGACGTCTATTGTATGATCTAATACCCCACACAATAATCCGGAATATTTAAAAATTATTTTTAAATATTCGGCCTAGGACTAGGAAAAGCATAATATCAGGTGGGTTTGATAAAACATGTCCTTAAAAGCTAATATACGAATCATTCTGTCACTGCAAATGACTTTGCAAGTGTGGGAGAAGCATAAATTACTTTCCTTCACTCCACGGGAGAAACAATCATACCCTACGAGCAGCAGTCAAGTTACAAGTGAAGTGGCCAGACAGGCTGACGCGGACAAATTTTATTCAAGCGGGACCGGAATTAGCGGCTAAAGTCAACCCTGGAGGACCGATTTTAGTAGTCCGGCGGACCGATTTTGGCAGCCAATATCTGTCCGCCGGACATTTTTTGGCCCAGACCAATTTTGGCGTGACAGGCCTAGCCTAGGTGGGGCCTCTCTTTGCATGGCTATAGCTAGCTACAGTAGGCATAGACCCTATCTAACATCGCCCAAAATGCCTCAGAGGTAATTTCTGTGCGACTAGTAAAAAATTTCACAGGGGCATGGGGGAATGCACCTGGACCCCCTAGGGTGGTGTTATCTTGACCGTTTCACTTTCAGCATCCCTTTCGGACATCTCTGGATCCGCCCTTGAAAATTAACAACTGACCAATCAGAACAAGGCCACAACTGTTTTTTTGTGGTACCTTAGCAACTATATCCAAGGGGCGGGTCCTAGTGGAAAGGTCAAAGGTCTATTATCTCATGCACCCCATGAACGTTAAAGTTGGTAGTGTTGTGCCTTTTAATATCCAGATCTATACAGTACAGTTGAACTTGCCTAAATAAAGATATATAAATAAAATTTGAGTCAATACAGATCATTGATTAAAGGAAAACACAACAACTTGGCATGTAAATTAAGATCAACTTAGAAATTATTCGAGTTAGGCAAAGTCGCTGTAGGTAAGTTTAACTGTATTTATGTTTTTTTCAGGATAATTCAGATACACATTACCAAGTCTGAGCTGCGACAATGGAATCTCAATCACAAAACGAAGTGAATGAGCAATTGGACACGGTCTCAGTTTCTACTATGTGGTTTCTGCAGCTGTGGTATTCGGACGATATACAGATACGAATTTGCCGCTACCTCATTTACAGCATAATTGTCTTGCTTGCTCTCATACATGTAGCCTGGCGATGGTATGGACCAGAAATATCAAACATGTACACGAAACAGGGTAAATTACTTTTCATCTGAGTGCCGTGAAGACTATTTTTTTAATCCTTTATTTATTTTTAGGCACATGGGCGGCGGTGGAGGAAAAAGAAGCATTTCCCTCCCCCCTCTATGTCGGACCGGCTTGGACCCCCTGTTGTCTAAAGCTAGGACTAGGTCATTGGATCAAAAATTTACCTATCAAAATAACGTTATTTTGATTGCTAATCCCTAATATTGTGGTCTGATGCTGGTTTTGGGATGGCAAGCCTAAAAATATACACACACATGCTTCACTATAAAAGTAAAAGTCTCATTATGCTGAGCACTTGAAAGGAATTCAACCCTGGACCCTGGAATTGGAAGTCAAGCATCTTAGCCCATAAAATACCCCTTCACTCTGGGTCATTTTACCACTAATTTGAGGAGGCCAAAGCAACTATTTCCAAACAATCACATACTACAGTGCACCCTCTAATTCCAAGACCACTTTTCCAAAGACCCAAATAACAATCTTCAACCTTTTAACACAAAGCTAGCCCTCTAATTGGAGAGCAACCCCGAGACCACCCCAAATTTTCAGGTCCCAAAGGTGGTCTTGACTTGGAGGGCAAACTGTATAACTATAATACTTTTCTTTTCTTTTATTTTTAAACTTCAGGTTTTTCAAGTCCAGCCAGTCCAGAGAAAGATCGTTCAAGTACAAGGTAATCAAATGAATGACGGCTAAACTGCAATGCTCTTTAAAAAGAAAACTGGAATATGGATCACTACATAATTATTTATTTCAACAATTATATGAATAAATACCTGTAATAATATTTTGTATGAAAAACTAACCTTGTAGCTATGTTTAGTAGTGTACAACCATGTTATGTTGTTATGTTGGACCAATAAATTCTGTCCCTATAGTTTTTTTTTCGCTGTTAAATTCCAAAATATACAAAAGACAACAAATTAGCAATTGGTTTTCGACTTTACTCATCAGTGATGCTTGTTTTATCTTTCAGGTGTGAAGATGTACAGAGTGATGCTTCATCTGACAAAAAAACTGATTGAAATTAATAAACCACCTATGTACATATTTCAGTGCAATGTTGAGTTATTTATAACAATGGGAATTTAGAAATATTGTATGGCAAATTTATATTGGAAAGTACTCTAGACATAGTACAATGAAACGCAAGTACAGTAATGAGGCAACAGAGTTTCCATTCTGCAATATATGTGCCAATTATTTATGGTTGGGGACATCAATATTATTGTACAATGTTGCTGAAAGTGCCAAAATCAAAATCAAGTAAATACTGTTTGGTTGGCATGGGTAAATAGAGAACTTTGACTTTGTGGTGTTGGGCTGTTTTAATTTTAGTAATGTATAAGAATACAACATTGAGATGGTAGTATCAAGCACTGAAACATTTTGGGACATTACTGATCATCTTGTCACCTTGCAGGTACGGAATTGTTAATCGTTTATGAGATAAACCAATGTAAAGTTCTGCCTGTTAGGACATTTCAAAACAAAGATACATGTCAATCACTGATCTCTACTATAATTGCTCATGGACTGGTTTCAGTAAAGCCATGATGCCGTGTCTGGGAACCTAAAACGTCACAGATACGTCATCACAGCGTGAAACTTTTGAACCGGTGTGGCATTCACCAACAACGCGACGTCATCGCGCTTTTGTTAAACTGCATAAACAGGTGCGTTGAGTGGTTAAATCATTCGAAAACATTTTATGTTAAATTTAAATTTATTATAAAAAATTATTTCAAGAATCATCATTTTAAACAAATGCCAAACCAAATTTTTTCTAAACTTACAGTATACGTCACTTGGGCTCCCCAACATGGCGCCAGTCGCTTCATTTTTTTTTCTGTACAATGACTGGCTGATGAGCAATCCAGCGATTATAATAGAGATCAGTGATTTCAATTTACTTTATGTATGTACATAAGTTTACCTTGATTTGTACTAATAGCACACAAACATATTGAATTGCTTAAATACTACTACAGTACATCAATCAATCAATTGGAACACTTATTGTTTTCATTTACTATTCTTCAAACTTGTCTCGTTATTTGTTATATTTGTTTTATTATTATTGAGAAGTAAATGTTCTTTTTAACTTGAAAGCTAATGGGGAATAAGATAATATTCCATTTTATTTGGAATGATGAAATTTATTAAAAATTTATTTAAAAATTTTTAAATTGCATTCGAGTTTTTGTAATGTTTCATTAAAAAAAATATACCCAATCAGTTATGAATAACTGCTTTTATTTAGAATATCATCCACTTCTCTCTGCATAAGTATTCACCATATGTACATTTATCAATTAGAACACATATTTTGTTAAAAAATTCTAGCTATTTGGGCAGAAGAAAATATTACATTTGAAATTACTTCTGTTTAACAGTTACAGAATGATGAAGAAATACATTTTTACATTGCATTCCAATTTTTGTAATGTTTCACTTTTTTTTTTAAATTATTAGTTAAATTTATTATTTTACGTTTTCGTTTGTACATCCTGCAAAGGACCCAATGGTCCATAACCGCAGGTAACATGAACATGTACAAATGAATAATCACTTTTAATTTCACTTCTCTCTGCATAAGTATATGTAAATGATTTAAAATCAAACTGGTTTTATCAAGAGAATATGCAAGTCCATAACATTTGTTCCAGTTAGTCCGGTCTTAATTAAATACAGTCCATTGTCAAAAACAGAATAGAATGTATAAGAATCGTTATTATCAAGGAACTCTACATGATTTAAGTTCTCTTGAATGGCTTGACTAACTTGTAGCGGATGTGACATCGCTCCAGTTGCATCCGTAGGACCATCCTGCCCATCAGTTCCTGCACTCAGTAAGATCATCTGGCAAACTTTGTTTTCATCAACATCTGCCATTCCTGTGGGCTGAAAAATCTTGTGCCAATGGATGGCTGTGGCAAGAGCTAGCTCTTGGTTCCTACCACCTTTCCCATTTCCACTTAAAGTTACTGTCGTTTCCCCTCCAGCTATTAAACAAAGTGGTTTATGAGGAGACACTCTGAGATATTCTTGAAGTTGGTTACTGAATGTTTCACAAACACCAAATTCAGACATCAATCTCACAATATTCTCAATCTCTAACTTCCTCATGTCACAAGATGCTGAGAATCCTCTGTGTTCTATAAGTAATTTAATTAACATGGAGAGGTTAGCATACAGTTCTGCTAATCCTCTTGCCTCTCCATGGATTTTGGAAGACATAATTAATGGTTGATATCCGACCTCTTTAGCTTTCTCACAACCTTTCTGCAATGCCATTTTGTTACTTCCAACTACCACATTCTGTACGTGCGAGAAGTCCTCTTCCAACTGACGCTTTGTGGCAGGACTTTTCAAAGTCTCCAAGACGGAATGTGGCATCAAAGACTCTACGCCAAGTCTTGAGATAATGGCAAGGGCATCATCTGGACTGGATGTATCCTGAACTGTTGGGCCACTGGCTATCAAATCCAAAGGGTCACCAATTATATCAGACAGAATAAGAGTTATAACCTGAAACAGTGATATCAATAAAGTGAGTTGCAAAAACTAGATTATTATTATTTATTATTGTGATATCATGCCCATAAAATTATGAGAAAATCACAGATATTTGACGTAGAAAACTTGATAGTAGGGAGTTTTTGCTACACGACGTTAACCTTAACGTTAATGGATGACGTCATAATTTATTCATCTTGCGTTGTGGAGTACGTTAATTTCAGGATTTTACGTGCTTGACTGACGTTAGTTACGGGTTTGCGCATGCATATTTCGATTTGTTTACAAAACGGGTGGAGTTATCGCATTGCATGTTGGGTTCTAACGTTAAAGTTAAGGTTAACGTCGTGTGTCGAAAACATTCTAGTGTAAACAAAGCTTACCTTAGCTGGTTTTGCAAGCTGTGCAAGTCCACCACCTTTTAGCTTGGACAATTTTTTCCTAACTGTATTCAGCTCTTGTATAGTAGCACCTTTCCTTGCCAGGGTTGTGGTTGCTTGAAGCTTATCCTCTAAGCTGACAGATGGCAATGGTGATGGCAGCAAGGCAGAGCCTCCTCCTGAGGATATAATGTTGATGTTGTTAATTAGGATCTCAATGAACATACTCAACAGATGTAATGTAATGTGGTTACATTGTAGTCTCTAAGCACTCGAGGTGTGGACTAACTTGTACAGTAACTTGCTTCTCCCCTAAGAGTCTCTTCGTGTCTGAGCTACCTGGTCAACCGGTACCAGCTACTCTCATCTGTCCACAACAGGAGCTTAATGGACCAGTACACCAGGGTAACTCCATACTCATCTCAAAGATGTACTGGGTTCTTTAAATTGCACATGAGCAAAAAAAAAAAAAAAGTGCAAAACCTCTTTAATGTTATAAACCAAAATGGTTTCCTGTAAGTAAACATTCTTATCTAAGAAAATACCGGATAACCTCGATTAGAAGGCATGGCTTCTTCTTTTAGGACTCTTGGATTGGCTTGCTTTCGAGATGTGCCTCTTTTTAAGATGGGCTTCTTTTTGAGATTACTTTTGCAAACTAAATAGGAGGGCTTCTTTTCAAAAAGAATGCTGTTAAATTTTGAAATTATTACAAAATTTTTAAACTATGGAATTCATAATTCTGTTTAATATTTTATAAATTTTAACCATGCTAGTACAAAGAAATAATATTGATACTAACACGCTATCATAATAATCAAAGATAATGTCAGTCTGAATGAAGTAGAAAGAAGCCCATATTATCTTGATTAGAAGCCTATGGGCTGCTTTTTGAGATGGCCTTCTTTTCGAGATTACTTTTGCAAACTGAAGAGAGGGCTTCCTTTCAAGATGCCTTCTTGTTGTGATTAAGCCCACGGGGCTTATTTTCCGAGGTTCTACAGCATAATATTTAGAGACAATTTTTGAATGGAAATGTATTCATGGTGAAATGTTTTTACTGAAAATACTGTCAAATTGATTTTACCTGATACCAATACAATTAGTACATCATCTTCTCCTACACCTTCCACCACTGCAGCTATCTCATCAGCAGCCTGCACAGCAGATTCATCAGGCAGATTATCAACAGCGCCCTCCAGCACTTTCACCTTGCTACCCTGTTTCAATAAGAGGTCACTGAAAAGCCAATTCAAAATGATAATTAAGTTCCTTGAAAATTTATTTTTATATAAACAAAAACATTCTCAGAAATTTACATCAAATTCTTTAGTATTTAGTTTAAGGTAACTATAAGTATGTCTTGCTGATTTCAGACGATATTGTATTATAGAGGCCATTTTATAACACAAAAAAAATTTCACTTCCCATTGAAACAATATTCTGTGGGAAGTACCGTAAAACCTCGAATTGAAGCCATGGGCTTCTTTTCGAGATGGGCTTCTTTTCAAGACAGACTTGATTTAACTGGCATTAAATCACCTAAACTACTATATAAACCAAGCTTTTTTAAAAATTTATTTTGGTTTTTTCAAATCATGTAATTGTACTATCTCAAAAAGAAGCCTATACTGTATAGGCGTATTGAAATGAAGCCCATGGGCTTCTTTTATAGGCTAATTTTGCAAACCAAAGAGGGGGCTTCAATTCGAGATGGGCTTCATCTCGAGATTATGTCCATTGGGCTTCAATTTGAGGTTTTATGGTATGTTTAAATTTAATCTACAATTTCATATTATACATAAATCCACACTTAAATGACTCACAGTTGACCAGAGCTTCTTAAGGAATCCTGGATACCAAATGGCACACTGATAACACTCTTGACAAGGTGTTGTCCAAGCATATCCTCAACACTCCTTGCCATTCCAATAACAGCCTTGCCAAAGCCAACCATATGGACATTACGATCCAGAGTGTAACTGCATCCATCCACTAATAATCTGCTGCCATCCACCACTAAGGACCTACTGATCATCTGGTGTGGAAGAACAGCAGCTACTGCTGCCTCAAAGATCTGTTTGGCATCACTACTGATACATTTTGGGAAACCCTTCATCATTATTGGTAGATTTAAAACCGATCTGAATAGTCGCACTTGTATTTTATTTAAATATCTCATCCCAACTTCTTATCTGCACAGTTCTCTTTTTGAAATGGCCAGTGTCAGCCTTTTCTTTCTCTATGGTGTCAGCAGGCCGGTAACCTCTATGCCCTGGTGTCCGTGAACACCTACATAAAATGGAGTTGGGCCAATTTATTAAATAGCTTTTTATTTAATAATTAAGTACTGTAGGTAGAGGAAGACTGCAGTTATCAACAAAGTACTCTTATTATTCTTTCATTCATAGGCCTATGGATTTCAGAAAGAACGGCACTTGAAGGACAGCCCTCAATCACACTGCCGCCTCATCAATCATTACGACGAGTAGCCTATATTACTACTAGTTTAGGCCTAGCAGGAGGAGGTGTCTGGTCTGGCTCGGTGCGTCCGAACTTCTTGTGGTCATCAATGTTTTTGGTCATGTGTCAAGGCTTTTTCTTCAGCCCAGGCACACAGAAAAAAACAAAATGATTACCAATTGTAGGGCAACACAATTACTTGCTTTGCCTCAGTTTCTGTCAAAAATATTAAGTTTGCAAGTTCCTTGCTTCTTGTTCTTCCTGTGTAGAATTTAACAAGTGGCGCCCTTCAACGTAAATATTGAAGGGCGCCACCTGGAAATTCTACACAAGAGCAAAGCAAGAAGCATGATAAGAACCAAAGAAGTGGCACTTTAATCTTTCACAGGCTCGGATAATTCTTGTGATTGTCACTTTATTTTATCATGACTTGTATCGCATTTGATCAATATTGTATCATCATCATCTAACATAAGATGCTCAGGGTGCTTGATTGTGGACAGGAACAAGAGGGGTAGAAATTGTGTCGAATGATAAAATGTTCACCACCGCAGCTTATTTCATTTCGGGTGCTCAAATTAAACATACATTGAAATTTGAATTGTACGTGGCTTTATTAAAAATATTTTTGTTTTGTACCGTAACCAAGTATTATCAACACACTCCAAAAAACAGCTTAAAAATGCTCAAAATCGTCGGAGCGGCCAGGGTGATTCGCCTCCACAACCCCCACCGGAGCTCCGCCCCTGGTCCCCTGCGGGGGCTCTGGTGGCATAGACACCCCGAGGAGGCAGACACACAAAAACGATCGACGTGTAGTTTTCATCATGGATCGAATGATAACTTTCCTTGTTATATCGGTCAACTGGCAACAATGAGTCCTTAAAATTAATTCAGCAAATTTCTGAAAGACCCATGAAATTGGTACTGGAAACACTATCCTCCATGTTCACAACATCACATTAAAAAATAACTCTTGTTTTTCATGCCTTGGTGGATCAGGTTTCACTTTTCAATTTCTTCCAAATCGCTGAGGACTTGACAACAAAATGCACTACTTTGTTGGTTTTGCTGATTGTACCGTGTGTCGGTGTAAGTGTTCCGGATTTATCAGGCCCATGGGGTTATCTAGTCAACTCTACTTGTTTTCTTGTTACCATCGGGTGTATTCGTTGGGCGTCAATTCGACAGTTTATACAAGCGATGAAAAATCTGAATCTATAAATCGACTCGTTATGTTGATCCTCGTCTCAAGAATAATACTTGTTAATGATTGTCACATTAGATTTAAATAAAACCTAAATTGCTTACTTTTTATTTAACTGTAAACAGTTAAATCTAATACCTAATAAAAACCGATGAATTTTTTCAATGATTGTCACAATATTTTATCATGATCTGTATCGTATTTTATAAATATGTATCATCATCATATCTGTATCAACAACTTTTATCCTCATATTTTATCAATCATCACCACAATCATACTATATAGTTGTGTATTAATATTACATCAGGACCATTAATACTTGTATCCAATGACGCTGAACAGACAGTTGGCATGAAAACAATCCGACTGTAGATTACAGTACCAGATTTGGGCTAGTTTGGGTCCATGGGCAACACGAACGTTTTTCGGCGGACCCCTGCCGCCGTCACCGTAAATCTAAATCAAAATATTTGTATCATCAACCATGGAGGATTATTCCTCCATGCATCAACAATATCATCACATACGTTTTTGTAATTATCACACAAAACACTGCAATGCTACCTCGTCTAACCAACAACACAGATAAAACAAAACACGTTCTTACAACTGATACGTTTTTTATTCGTTTAAAAGACTACCAACCTATTGGTAGTATGACATGGATACACATCGACCATAAATGGATACACCAAACAATCTACTAATGAATCAACTTTTCTTTTCAGGCATACAAAATATCTACTCATGTTGTTTGAATGCTGAATTCCAAACAATGCATGTTTTTTTTTCTACTATTCATTATCTACCATTGCCCAAATCTAAACAATCGCAGTTTTGCCAAAACACGCAAAAGTCATCGAGGCTACACTAATGCCCATACTGTAGTTATCGTGTCATTATTTACGTACAGTAGTTCTAAATTTTGCAATTTTAACACAACTTGAGAATACAATTCAAAACGTATGCCTAATAAAACTGTTATTATTGAACAATGTTTTTGAAACTTGGGTTGAAATGAGAGTTAAATCAGTTAATAAAATTTTAACATCAATCAAGTTGGAAATTCAAAAATGTGTGTTCTTGGTAAAAGTATTATAAAGTAAATAAAATAAAAGTAACTACAATATGAGTAATAGGACACCGCAATAATCTGGTATAAAATGCAATATACAGTACAATAATTATAGGAAAAAGTATGTCAATGCCAAACAATAATACCAAAGAGTATAGAACTGCAAGAGGCCAGACTCTTTCAGTGTTTCGGAATCCTATCTCAAAAACAGTATTATCAAGAACCAGAGGGCGTCTTTCAAAGAACGTAGGCGTTTGCAAATAGGGCGCCCTCTATCTAGTGGTAGTACTATTTTTAACGTTTCATCGCATGCATACAAAATCAGGGCAGTCGGACGTTTTCTTGCAATTGTATACTCTTTGGTATACTAAACTTGTGACTTCCAGATAGCATTTAAATACTACTAGTATTCGTACAAAATCTTGTTGAAACAAGATCACTTATCTGTAGAAATTTTAATATATAAACAGCACCTAGTGTAAAACAGCCATGTCCTAGCAGAGCAGCTATGAAGTAAAAGGTCAGACAGCGCAATAAGCTTCAAAGGAACCAATGTGACATTGATCCAGTCAGCATTTATTTACAAAATGTCAGCAAATGTCACCAGATGTTTACAACTGGAATTTAGAAAAACATCTAATTGCTTGTTAAATATATACTGTATGCTTATACACATCTAGATGTGTATAAGAGACAGAGTTTAGGCCTAGCAGGAGGTATGACACTGGAGTATTTTCATTATCTATTTTATGTATTAATTCTGAGATGCTTTCAATCATAACTTAGAGATTTCAGACATCACTTTTTAAAATTAAAATTCATGATCTGAATTCTGACGAATGTACAAACAAATTTCAGTTCTTAAGCATTATACATTTTAATCTTTAATAAAAGCTGTTTAAAATCCATTACATAGTGAAAATTAACATCACCAATATTTCTTCACTGAAATTAAACCAGAATTTTCTATATTGGGAAGTAAATTCAGCAAAAAAAGAGAAAAAAGGAAATTCATCAATTTACTGAAAAGATAGTTACAAATATTACTGAAATCAGCCCAACAGAAGACTTATGTACTCACTTTCTATACACTAGAAACTTGTTACAAAAGGTCCTACAGAAGTTAACTAGCTATGCCAATGTATATAACTATATAATATACCTTGATACCATTACACATAGCATTTTATATCACTGTATACAATAGAAAACTATACTAATAATAAAATATAATGATGACATGGTAATGACGACTACATGTAATGAATAAATAATTAAAATTATACATATACTGTATTTTAAAAAACTGACTTCAGATCAGGTAAACAATGCTGATGTTGAAGTATGTATTTACAAGGAAAGTGTTTCTTAAACAAATGGACAAACTTAATGCTGGTAGTGTCTACCAGAATAAAGTGCTTAATTTTTTTCTCAACTCAATGTATACTTTCTTTAAAAAAGCAGTTAAAATTGTCTATAAGAAGCCATGAATTGTACTACATACATTAACATTTTAAAATACTAATTATTAGCTTAGGATCTGGCTTTGTAAGCAATTTAAAATGCACATACATACAGAACCAGCCCACGTTGTATCGTATCACTCTTGAGTTAAAACAATATTTATCTTTAAGCTATAGAATGAACAGCCCCCTCTATTGTGGGCAAAAAGAAAGTTTAAATATAGCACTACTTGTAACAAACATAACCTAACTAGATTATCAACACAGACTAAAACTTAATCCTTTACAAAAAAATTAAGCTACAATTCTTTAAACAAAACCCACAAGGTGCTATAAAATTAGTTTTCTTCTTTCATCCCAAAATTTCAGTCTTTTAAAAGTTAACCCTGTTAACTACATCTATGCTTACTAACATTCTTCTCATATCAACGAAGATGATTGTCTAAATAGTCGACAATATTGACTAATTCCTTCGGTTATCAAATAACAATATATTTATGTAAATGTTAACAGTATACACAATTACTATACAATCTAAGCTATGTCAATAAAATGTTTATATAAAACCCACTGAATGCTTGCTTCTTGTAACACCAACATAAAGATGCAGTTCAGTGGCACTGGATGTATCAATTTGTTCAGAAAGGCAACATCCAGAACCATAAAAGTTGACACAATTTTGTTTGGTGTTCATTGTCAATTACAATACATGAGTCCAATAAAGCATGATTGACTAATATTTTTACCCCATAAATAGATATTATTGAAACATAGTTACCCTTTAAACATTACAGATTATTGAAATTTTTACTGTACCTGCAACTTATTTATCATGGAACACACACTCAAATTTTAATCTAAAGTCACATATCATTGACCTTTGACACTGGCAATTCCAGTTCTTCTAGGAATACTTCACATCAACTTTGTCTGTTCCGATAAGTAGTTGGAAGGGAAATAAACAAAAAAATAAAAATGGGAAAAAAATCCACCCAATCCAACATTTTTTGGTGTTTTCAGTTTGGAAGACTTGCGTGATAATATGGTCTTTGGATAATGATACAGATGTTGTCCACCTTTGCACCATTTTTTACTTAAAATTTATCATTGGGGACCATTCATACACCCCATTAACCCCTAACCCTAACATTTCAATGCACGTTCCATGAGATACTCACAATAATGGCAATGCATGATAATAAAAATATTTATTTTATTCAACAACCTCCTCATGTTTAATATTTGACCCAGGAATACACGTCCCAGTGTGTGCACATACATTTAGGACCCCTCCTTAGAAGCACCTATGTACCAAGATTTTATAAAGAGACTCTAGGTTAAAAAAAATGCTGGTTTCTATCAAAGCATTGTGGTAAATTAGCTATTTAAAACTATAATGATTGGCGCATATATCATTATTATAAATTAATTTTATGATCATCATCTTGTCTAGTAAAAATAGACAGCACTTGTTTTCACAAATGTGTGATATATTTCACACATGCTTTTGCACCTATGAATGAGGCGTGAGGCTTCATTGGGCACAGTGCTGTTCCTCATTGCTACTTGACAGTGTGGGTGCCAGGGTGGTTCGCAGGGGCAGAAGACCCTTGCCAGAGAACACTAAACACTGTTGGGGAAGAAGCCAATTATGTTGTTGGGGAACACTGCTCTGAAGAAACAAATTTCACAGTCCGAGAGTGCCATTTCCAGGCATATAGAGGTAACTATTTTTAAAATTTGCTCACTTCAGCCCAAACCACAGTAGGTGTGGACCCTCTATTATTGGGGATCTTGGATTCCTCCTTGGGGAACCTCTGGAGCTGCCACTGCTACTTGATGGTTAAAGGGGAAACTATTTACACCTTGTGTTATTGATACACAGTCTCCTATACATGTCACATAAGCTAAGGTTGACAGATAATTAGACTGTACACATATATAAAAAACAATACTATAAAAAGCAAAATTTAAGGATGTTTTTGTTGTTGACATATATATGTGTATATTATGGTGGCACATATGGGGGTGGTGCTCTGTGTGTTGGGGTGTTGATTGGCCTTGTGGTTCGGTTTTCAGAAGGGGTTGAGTTCAATGGTGGCGGAGGTTCATAGGGGGGTGATCCAGATAAATCAACCATTGGTACAGAATTTCTATCTAGATCAACATATTCATTTAATAGCGGTTCTGATGTCTTGTCTGCTGCATAATCTGGCGGAGGTAGCGGTGGTTTCTCATTCTTTAAAATTAGAGGTGATGTTGAAGATGGTGGCTTCTCTGCATCCTGTATCTCATCTGGCAAAATAATTGGAATTCGTTTACTTATGAATGTATGTTTATCTTCATCTGACAACTTGCCCTTGCGATTCTTTCGGTAAAGAATGAAGATGATTACGCCCGCTATCAGCAGGATGAATGCCACTACTACAGCAGGAAGAACTGTACTTATCCAAATGTCATCTGACTGAGGTTGCGGCACACCATCGATTCTAGTAGTAGTATCAGTTGTTGTTGGAGCTATGGTGGTTAAACAAACACCAGACGGCATGGCCTGTACTTCCGTAATTGTAAAATCTGGTGAGAACGCATTCCGCATCTCATCTGTCACTGTTCCATCAGGATTTAACATCATTCTTATCAGAGATTCAATTAGCTCCTTCTGGCAAGAGCCCGTAGGAATAGAGCTATTGGTCCATGACAGGATCACAGAACCTCTCTCGATAGAGAGAATGGCAATGTTATCAGCATTAGTATCACCAAACACTGCCGCAAGCTTAGTTAGAATCAGCTCCTGCAGTTCCTTGTTCTTCATGAATTCATCATAGTCTATATCAAGTGTCATTCCCATGGACACTGGTGCAGCTTCTGGCTTTGGAGCTGGTTTTACCACAATTTCAAAAACAACTTCATTAAACTGTCCTTTCGTGTCTTGAGCTACTAATAAATAATCTGTAACTTCTTGTGCTATTAATGTCCGGCCACTTAATTTTTGATTCTTTTTATCAAAGTAGAACCAGTGGTCTTTTGTTACAGGTTCACGATTACTGGCGAAGTATAATGCAAGTTCCAACTTAGAGGTATCCCCATCTTCATCATGGAATAGATCATTTGGTATTTTATAATCAAAATACTTTCCTACTTGAACTTCAATCCTGGAAATGTCTTTAATCACAACTGGTGGTTTATCTACAGTTGTTGAGCGCTGTGTGGTTGTCGTTGGCATCGTTGGTGTAGTTTCCTTCACTGGTTTAGTTGGTTCAACAGGTTTCTTTGTAGGCTTAGGCTTCTTGGTTGGTGGCGGGGGTGGTGTTGATGGTGGTAGTATTATTACCGGCGTGGTTACTACTGTTGTAGATGTGCTGGTTGGTTCAATCATAGAAGAGGTGGCCTTGGGAACTTTAGTAGATGATGGTGTAGTTGTCATTACTGGCACAGATGTCAATACTTCAGTGGGCGTCATGCTCTGTGCTGGAGGTGAGAATGTTCGTGTAGGAGCTTGAGTTTCTGATGTTGGAACTGGTGTTGGCTGGAGCTGCACTGAAGTCTCAACCCCTCTTGGTGGAGTAGGAGTTGGTGTTGGCATGGCAGTGAAACCCGGCACAGGAAGCTGTGTTTTGACAGGATGTTTCATTGTTGGAGATGGTGACATTTTTGCTGATGAGGACATCATTACTATAGTACTTTCAGCTGGTACTGATCTTGTTGGTGGTTTAGGAGTCATATCAAGTTTGATACTCGATGACGGCCTAACAGATGGTAGGATAGAACCTGGCACAGGAGTAGCCAATGGTGTACCAACTACAATTGGGATTGCTTGTCTGCGAACTCGGCTGGCAAGTTTAGGCTGATCATACTTTACATGCCAACTGATGATGTTATGTCCAAGTTTCTCTGCCATTGTGCCATCCTTTGCCGCAGATTCAAGCACGGTGACCAACGGAAGCTTGGAAAAATCTCGAGAACCACAGCCTATCTGCCAACTAACCACCATCCCTTTGTAGAATGGCTTTCTGATGTTTCCTGGTCCTGCTATAATTGCTGATAAGTCTCCTGTCTTTGATGGTAGTAGAGTAAAGGTCTCTTCCGCCAACATGGAATACTGAGACATTTTCTGTATAGCACTGACACGAGCTGCAGGACTCATCTTTGACAACTCTGCATCAAGAACGATTCCTGCTAAGACAGCAGGTTCGTCTAGTTGGCATTTCACAACACCAGTATTAATGTCTTTAGCTTCGGATGAAGCCACATCTGGAGCAGGAACAACATCTATTGTAAAGATATCTTTGTCCCTTGATTTTTTTCCAATAGCAATGATTGATATATAATGTACACCAACATCTTCTTCTGATGGCACTCCTTCAAGGGTGTTGGTGGTCGAGTTGAAGTGAAGCCACATGGGAAGTCTGCTATCACTGTCACCTTCTGATAACTGCAGAGAAAATAGAAAGAAAACATAAATACAAATATTCTATTATTTTTAATAATAGGAAGTTCATCTCAAACAGTATTTTTAATTCTGCTTGTTTGTTATGCAATGCTTTATAAAAGTAATATTCTTATTGTGGTATAATTAACAATCTACTAACATATTTTTAAAAAATCAAGAAATGCAGGCAATATCAGCAAACCACTTTACATGTCATTATCATTATAATTAATATACAGTATCTATAATTTATATGCGACAACTGCCAGAAATTCAAATTTGCTAGAAAAGCTTATGAACAGTAATTTCTTATATTGATTCAAGAAATTAAAATGAATGTTTCAACTTTGTATTACTGTAAATAAAATTTCCATAAGTTTTTATCTCTTCTTCCTAGTTCTTTCATGAGCTCTAAATGTTTTATATTCAGCATTATGAGATTGAATTTAATGCAAAGACAGATTGAATTTCATGCTGGGCAATTTCATGTATTCAAACAGTTTGTCTCTTGTCATAAATCTCTCACAGTATGCTAAGCACTTCAGTTCAAATCAGAACTTACCATGCCTTGCCACTACTAACCCATTGGGAAACACGATTTATTATTACACTTAATTAATGTTTCATCAAAAAGTTTCCCATAGTGGTCCATGGTGGCCTTTCATAAATGGTGAAACTATGAAAGGAAGTCAGGTGAAGATTCTAAGGTAAGGGACCATAAATCCAAGGCAGTGGACAGCTGTGAAATATATTTCACAGTGTTCAATACAAATATTTGCTTTCTCCTAAATATATTTCACAGTATTCAAAACAAACATTTGCTTTCTCCTACAATTCTTTGACTCGTCAAGTTAAGTTGTTAATACAGACACACGTTTCAAAAACCAAACCGTGAGAATTTTTCATGGCGTCAAACAAATACAGTTTCAACACATATTTCCATACTGGCCATCTAATGAAAATAATAGGATTTTTGTATTAGGCTAGTCCTCAAATGACATTACCATAGCAGTTCAAAGTCAACCTCCTAATGACAATAACACACTACTTTGTAATCAAGGAGGTTTAAGAAATATCGATACAGACATAGATGTTTGTTGATACTGTAATTGATAAAAGAAAGAACAGGGCAAAATAAAAATGAAAAAAAGACTAAGAATACTAACAGGGATGGAGATACAATTTCTAAGATGATGGAAGACCAGAGGAAAGAAAAACAAATAAGGAAATGGACAACAATTAAAGAATATAAAAGGAAAATTTGGAAATTGGAAGAAAAAGATGGATAACTCAGTTGAATAAAGCGGAAGGTGGTATGTACGCTGACCATGATTTGTCCATATATGTTATTGATCATGTCATGATCACAGCCATATATATGGAAAAATCACACATATTTGTTAGGACATAGCTTAAATTCAGAAGAATGACAATCTTGCCAAAATCTAGTCAAGTTCACTTCATCTACCATTTCACTATAGTGATTTTCCTATAGTGGCAGATGTCATCCTTTCAGCAATACCAAATGTAAATCAACTGCTGTTGTCTTTTTCAAAACCAGTCCCATCGGCATTTTTATTTGCTCCATTCAAACTCGTTGATTGACAGTCATACCTTCCACAAATCAAGAGTGGACTATTTATCAAGAGCAAATAATGCTACTGGCAGAACCACACTTGGCAACCTACATTCCTATATTGTTTTTTATTACTCAGACCCATGAACACAACTCATGAATTTACACGACCAACAAACTATCTATCTGACAGAGGTTTTTTAATTATAGTTAGAAAAAGCAATTTTGAAACATTTACAGTTTGGAAGAGTATACTGCTAGTCACAATGCAAAGCCTGATGCACTCATCACTTTAATTTTTGCATTTTTTATTCAGTGAGACTACGACCTTCTTTCTCATTGACCTACAGTATATGACTTTGATAGTACAGTACTTGCAAAATTTTTTTCGTATTTTTAAGTTTAAGAAAGTATTACAGTAAACTAAATGCGACGAATGTGATGCAAGCAATTGAGGTTCAATATCTCATAGCTGACATGGTGGACCAATGATTTTTAAAATTTATCATTAGGCATAAAATATGATTATAGCATTAATAGACAGAGTATTAAGAATCTTGACATTTGCTGGATTCTTCAGAGATACTGTCTTATGAGGTAATAAAATCTGACAATAAAATTTAATATTGCCTGCTTAATGAGAAGTTAATTACAGAATAATTAATTACTATGAGAATAAATTGACCTTGCCAATTAACAAATGATTATAGTGATATGGTGTTCCTTTTTAAAAAAGCAAAATGTCAGTAAAATTAATAATGAAAAACTGTACTGTAATGCCAGACTAAAAGTTGATAAGGGCCTACATGTTTGATAAATGAGATATCTAGTGTTTTAATATAATTAACCAGAGAGAGTAGGCCTATACTTTAGAAAGCCGCCAAATTATTAACAAATATGAAAATGTTTGGAACAGAAACATACCGGCAAGAAAACATGTAGATATTTGCTATTCATGCAATGATTCTAAAGGCAAAATAATTAAATGATACTTTCTGAATGATTTGTAAATGATTGTTTTGCATTAATATGTTTTACAGCAGCTTGTCATTTCATTACAATCAAATTCACAAATAAAAAAATATACCACTATTTCACAATCTTTTTTACATCACAAAATCTAACATTTGACATATCATTCATGAAGTTGCTAAAACTGTTATTAATGATCACATCAATCTGGGGTCAACATAATGTCACCATCTTCTTCCTTCCCCCTTCCTGTTCCCCAACTAATCAAATATTTCATATTTTATGATTCATGAATTTGACTCAAGGACAAAGACTGAAATCAAATGCTGAATATTCCAATGCAATAGCACAACTCATCAACAAATAAATAACACACATCACGTCACGGGAATATTTCTTATCTGATTATTAATAGTTCAAATAACATTTTTTTAAAATTTGAAATACAGTAACGTAGAAATGGAAACAAATGTACTAAAAAAAATTAAGAGATATGAAAACAAATCCGAATCCAATTTTCTAAGGTTTCATGACATGGTGCCCATATGATAAGCTCTTGTAACCGAAGTTGGCAAGCAGTGTATCAATTTTATTATTTATAAAATAAATATTTGTTATTAAAGGGTAATATTGTTATATAGTAATATAATATGATAGCTTTAGTTCAACTATAAAAACTAATAAATGGAAGCTGAAATGTTAAAAACATAACATTAAACTACTCTCCAGACATAAAATTTTCTTTTGACAAAAAATGTACATGCCCATCCATATATAGTCATGATGTACCTAAATATGGTCATGACCTAATGTCATCATGACCACGTTAAGGCATGCCACATATTTTTGTCAAATACCATCATGCATCTTTTTAAACCGTTACAGGATATTAAATAATTGTAGTAAGCAAATTTTTAATTAGCATGTTTCTAGTAATTATTGATTCCTAATCAATTAAACAATGAAACGATTAATAATTGATGTTTTTACAACCTTCCACTTAGGTTTAAATACAAAGAGAATATCAATAATACATCAACACGCTTTTCTTTCAGTGCAAAGTAATTTGATGTTTTAATTATAAATATGTCACATTAAATGGCAGTACCTTTCTTTTTATATACTCGCTAATAATGTAGTTAAGTTTAGTTTTCTGGGGCTCCAGACTTTTGTCATGGTGATTTGGTTGCTTTTGGGGCCCCAAGACACTTTTCTGAATAGATAAATGAAATGAAATGAAGTACACATCGTTATTAAAGTTGTGTATTATCACATGGTGGCCTTTTCAACAGAGTAGGTTCTAATTATAGCAACTACAGTGTATACTGACTGACAAAGCCAATCACAAAATGAAGCGTATTTTAATAGAGTATTTTTTAAATGCGAGCTAACAGATATGACAGTACAGTTCGAGAGCAGCTTTAGACAATTCAACAAAATCAATCAATCGTCACACTAAATCTTCATAAAAAGATTAGCATTAACAAAGAGTTACCTGGACAATGCTAAGCACACCACTAAAAAGCCAGAAGTGTGTTCACATTGTAAATCAGTGCAAGCCCACATAAATTCTAGAACGCCAACATTATTATATCTATTGTATTGACAGGTTTTTTTCCTCATGATCAAAAATAACTATATCCACTCCCTAAGCCTCATATTCTGAGACATAGTTTAGAGTTAATATTATTTGGTTTATGTAGAGCATCAGAATCAGTTATGAAATGGAATCCCAGTCACCGAGAAAAATTCCAACTCCAATCAAAACAATATCAGTATATGAAAAAGTGTGCAAGGCACGCTTTAGAGCAGCTAACCTTCTACTAAAATTTTATAAAGTATTTTGTAAATTCACTTATTGATGAAAAATCATGAAGGAGAGAGAGATGGTGGGAAAAGGAGACCATTCACTACAC